TATATATATATATATATATATATATATATATATATATATATATATATATATATATATATATATATATATATATATATATATATATATATATATATATATATATATATATATATATATATATATATATATATATATAGGGGCCGGTTCCCGTGAGAATGCACCTTGTGGAGAGAAATGAGAATAAAATCTAACCGTTGGATGTGATGCATCGTGCGGCTCAGATTGCATCCTGCGCTCAAATTTTGAGAATGTGCATTTTCAAAGGATTTTGGTGTATTTCGACATGATGCATTTTCAAACCATTTTGGTGCACTTAATTTTGATGCAATCCTGACCCTTAGATCTCACAATCTAAAGCACCAGATTCATTCTCATTTCTCTCCTAAGATCGCATTTTCACCAGAACCAATATATATATATATATATATATATATATATATATATATATATATATATATATATATATATATATATATATATATATATATATATATATATATATATATTGGTTCTGGTGAGAATGTAATCTTAGGAGAGAAATGAGAATGAATCTGGTGCTTTGGATTGTGAGATCTAAAGGTCAAGATTTCATCAAAATTGGATGCACTAAAATGGTTCAAAAATGCATCACGTCAAAATGCACCATAAACCTTCGAAAATGCATTATCTCCAAATCTGAGCGCAGGATGCAATCTGAGCCACACGATGCATCAGATCCGACGGCTAGATTTTATTCTCATTTCTCTCCACAAGGTGCATTCTCACGGGATATATATATATATATATATATATATATATATATATATATATATATATATATATATATATATATATATATATATATATACTCCGTATATATATATATATACACACACACACACACACACACATACATACATACACACATACATACATACATACATACATACATACATACATACATACATACATACATACGTACATACATATATATATATATATATATGAGATAAAAAATAAATTATGTATAATTAATATTTATTTACAAAATAAAATGCGAAAAAAATTAACCACGAAACACACTCGTTTCGTTTAGAGAGAGTGCCTATAGAGTGTTTGGGGAATAAAATTTATGGTGAAATGGCCCAAAACGGAAAAAGTGGAGTACCTTTAGAAATTGAGGTTTAGAGTCAATGACTTAAGATATAAATCTATGAATAAAAGAGGTGCAAATTTAGAACCATTTTTGGTCAATTTAAGTTCCATCATAGATTATATAATGAATTTAACATTTTCTAAAAAAATAAACTAGTTTTTAGTATTTTTAATGAACTAGTTAAATAATTTTAAAAATTAAAATTTTCAGATTCTAGCTAAAAGGATTAAAATATTTGTAAACAATTAAAAAAACATAATTGAGTTGATGAAGATAATGGTAATCACCTATCTTCTTCTTCACTCCATTGTCCCTTGATAATAAAGCCATCTCCATTATTATTTGATGCATCCTCATTTGTTTTCCCCATCTCTCTTGTTTCTTGATGACTTGTGAGTGCAATGCTTTCTCGAGTAGCCCACATTAACCCTTGCGGAGCGCCTGCCCGGCGGTCCCATGCGTTTACATTGGGAACAGAGAACCATGCGTTATCTGCCCCAGCACGACTATTCGTACAGTTGGCAAAGCTATTAATAAAAGTAGATGGAAATTTTCCATGGAGGGAAACCTCGCCAAACATGTTTTCATCCATTAATGGCGAGAAAGAAGAGACTGGTTTTCGAAAATCGGTGAACGACCGGAAACCGCCACCGTCACTTTCCATGAATGGTTATTTAATATATTGAATGAAGTCAATCTAGAGGAGATTGATGGATGTCTCTATGTGAAATGTGGAGAGAAGGGCTAAATGAGAGGGTTGCATATATGTGAAGACAAAGGGGCTTTTATATAGATTATCATGATTAATATTATCAAAAGGTGCTAATTTGACTAAAATGGTTGAACCACCTAAGACCAAGATAATAAACCACAAGAAACATTTTAATTAAGCCTCCCCTCTTGATTACATAGACATTTGTTTGTCACTATTTTGTGAAAATTAAATACCTAATTTTTTACTTATTGAGTGTTTAATTTTCTTTTTAATTGATGGCTTTGTCCATTGATTTAATTTGCCAATCAATTTTAACTTATTTCCATTTCAATTTAATTACACTTCTGAAAAATTTGTTACAAAATTTAAAACTGTTGCTTCAAAACCATTAAAAACAACCCTAAAAAGGGAAGTGGACTAATATATGTTTGGACATTTAGTAGCTAAGCTTAGCGTATAGTGAGAAGTTGTTGTATAAGGAGAGTTGTAGTGTGACATTTCATGTGAGGCCTTATATAACGGCTGATGTGGGCCAAATCGAATATACTTCCTTTGTCTTGGTTTAATTTGGACATTATAACACATTATTTTCTTTTCTTATAAAAAGAAGAATATGCATCTCTTTTCTAAACATATATGGATCATTCATTTTTTTGTTTCAGTATTTGATTTCTTTTATAATATCTGAAATCAAACTGTTCAAGTGTTAATGGGTAGATACGAGTGTTTTAATATTTGATTTTACAACTATTTTAAAGTGACCAACTAACTATATTTAATATCCCAGTACGATTCTTTTGAGCTTAGAAACAAGTGATTCGAGAATAATATGAAAACTTACATTGTTCCGTTGGTAAAAAATTGAAGATTCCTACCATTTTTTAAACCTCTCGTCCCAGCCCTCTTATTAGCCACCACTATAGCAGGGAGGAGGTTGTGTGGAGGTTTAGGAAAGAGTTAGAGGAGTATGTACTATTAATTTAGAATGAAAGTGTACCCGAATCATTTTCGAATCGTTTCTTTAATGTTAAAGAGTTGCCCTAAAATTCTAAATATGCAAGTACACTATTAGTAAAAGAAGTGTATATTATATGTGTAATGTGTGTTACCCCATTCTATTCATGGAACACACTTTACAACTTTATATTGATGAGTCGGTTGGTTATTATTCATACCTTGCATTCCGTAAGAAAAATATTTTTTCTACACGTATTTTGTGTCATGTAAAGAACAACTTTGAAAAAAGAATGTTCTTTTTATTATATGTATCAAATATTTTTAAACAGTTCAAGTTTGTGTGTCACTCGCTTCGGTCCTAAAAATCTTTTTTGTTTTGATTTTTTTGGTCAAACAGTGACACATTTTGATTATAAATTATGAAAAAGTATACTTAATTATAATATAATTGAATATAATTGGGTTCATGAAAATGTTAAGGTGTCCCATGTAATTGTGTAGAAATGTTCGGGCAAATAGACTGAGCTACTTGACCAAGGTCGTCTACATTTTAGGGGGCTTCCTAACTAAAATTAAAATATGTTTAATATATTAAAATAGATTATTCAATAATATTAAGACTTGTGATCGATATCAAATAATATCAAAATATAATACTCGACATAAAAAAATACAAAGAAATACCAACACACAATGATTATACACACATTGGGCTTATCTATTCATTCTTTTAGGCCCAATGATCATACACACATTGGGCTTGTGTATTCCTTTTTTGAGGCCTTGGCACATCTTAGAATGAGACTCTCTAAGTCACAAAACATAACTTTAATTTATCAAGCACAATAGAAATAGATTTTTTCAGGAGAATATTGTGCTCCCAACAAAACACATTTAGCATAAAATTTTGGGCCACATATCTTTTGGGCCTTATGAAAGTGCACCACTTAGAATCCCCCATATGGTGGGGATCCGCACACAACATTTCAGGCCTCAATTTTGGGCCTCAATTTTGGCCTCGCTTGCACAGAGAGCTGTCCAAACTGCTTTGGTTGCATCTGAAATTAGTGCTGCGCGGTATGGGCTTCGTAGAAAGTTTTGCTACACAACCGAGTAGCAGTAGATCCGGTATCAAATGTTGTAGATTTGGAGCAGTTCCCAATTTGTACGTGTAGGAATTGCACGTGCGACCTGCCGGAGAAGCTTGCGCAGATGCACAAACCAAGGGAACATTTTCTTTTATGTCCAACCTGGGCATGTTGAACTCCCATGCTCCAGCTTGAGGGGGGGTGTTAGAGACAGAAGAAGGAAGCGGGATTGAAGAAGGAAACTGAATCCCTTTGGGATTAGGTTAAGTATCTTTCCTAGTTTGTTTAATTCTTATTTTAGTAAGAATAGAAATTTTCTTGTTTGCTTTACTCTTTTCATATATATAAAGAGGGTTAGATCTTTGTATTCACAAGCCAAATCAATATAGAAGTATTTTCTTCTCCTATTATTTTACATGGGCACTACAAGAATTTGTCTGATCTGCAACGGAAATCTGCTACGGACCCTTTTCTGTAGCAGATTTGCAACAGAATTTGTCTGAGCTGCAGTAAAATGGATTAATTTGTCAAATGCTGATTGGTTTCGAAAAAACATTTACTTTGGTTTCAAACATAAAATAAACGAATGTCCAGTCATTTAAGTTAGTATCAATCTATCATACTCTTTTTTTATCTACTATTAGCAGAGGCATTTGGCAAACCAAATCTCAACTGGATTATACAAAAAGTGTCACCCACATCTTATGTCATACAAAATAGAATAATGAGCACACTAAATGTTATGATTGATTTGTGTCACGTCACATTCAAACATTTCAAAGTGCATCTTTTTATCTTGTACTTCTGCAAAACTTGTTAACAAAAGCATGTGAAATGTATTCTATAAATACGACAATATGTACTCCTACAACAAGCCCAAATTTTTACCAATTTTCCACATAAGCTTGAACAAGGTATCAAAGATCCTAGTTGGAGTTTTATGTCGTACCTGTCATCAATATATACATCAATTTTTTAACATATATGGGCTGTAAAAATATTTCCATTCCCCTATAGAGCCAAAGATTAACTATTTTTTTGGCTTTGGGGTATGATGGAATAAAGCAAATTGGTTCTTTAAACTGTATGAGCTTCTTGCAACAGTGAAGTAGCAGTTAGTCAAGGCAACTTTCGACGCCCATCATGGGTCATATGGAAACAACCGCTCTATGTTTCAAATATAGGGGTCAGACTACATACATCTTACCCCCCATTACCCCACAATGGGCGAGAGCCATTGAGGCACTGCTGCACTAGGGTAATGTTGTTGTTGTTGTTGTTATATGGGTTGTAAAAATATCATCAGGCGCGTGATGAAGCAAATGAAAAATAAACTCAAAGTAATCAATGTGCACTCTTATTAACAGCTTAAGCATTTAGACAATTTAGTTGCTAATTGGAAGTTTGGAACACCTGCTTTGGATTCCAAACATTGAAACTCCAAAACTAAATGCATATAAGCTAGGCAATTCATATCTTCATTCTCCAAAAAAGAGTAATAATTGCTCGACTAATTCGAGACATCCCAAAAATAAAAGATAATCAACCAAATCCGGGTATAAGTACTTGGTGTAAAGCAAGCAATCACCTTGTTGAAAAGGAGAAGTTTCAGAAAACAAGCGGCTCGATTACTGTGGAGGGCGATCTTCTGGGGTTTGGTCTTGGCCAGAGAAAGCGCATCTGTATAAAACTCCAGCGCTTCCTCGTACTTCCCCTCTCTGTACATCTGGTGAGCTCTCTCGATTTTATTCATCGAATTGCCAGTTGATGCCGACGACGCCATATTTACCCACAAGCTTCCATGCTTCGGCCCGATCTACACGAAACAAAACAAAAAGATATATAAAACCCTTATGAATTCATAGAGAACTTGATTTGCATAAACACGACTGGTTTATCTAAGACCTGGAATTAGCTCAATCAGGTACTCCAAGAGTCCAAGTTCAAATTTTTCTCACTCAAAAATCAAATTTTATCACTCTTTTGATTTCATTTTTAAATACTCCGTATATATTTTTTGAATTTTGAAAAGGGGATTGTAAATCAAGAGCATAGAAAGTTCCCAAAGATATGTTGTTAATAAATGTGAATTGCCAAATGACAAATACCCGGAGTAATATAGTGTTTTGTTACATTTCTTTTTTAATACTTTTGATATAGGTTTTAAATATATAAATTTTAATTTTTAATTTTCCACGTACAATTAAATAAAATAAACATAAAATAAAATTGTTCAAACATCATAAACAGAAATAAGAAAAAAGTTTTAAGACAGAAGAGTTTTAATTTACCATTTTTCGTTTCAAAGAGAAAATGTAAGTCACGACTCTTGAAAATTAATACCCTTTCATCCTTAAATAATTTAGATAGTTATAATATAACAACATGTTGTAAACAAATTAACAATTTATGTTCATGCATTTCATAAAAATTTTAGAGTGAGTTTCCAAAAAAAACCTTTCTAATAAGGTAATTTCTTGAAAATTACTTAAAATTTCAAAAAGTAATTAAAGGTAATAACCGAACTCTAATCTGAGCTGACCATTCGATATTTCAGCTCTAAGGGAATGCAGATTTTTTTGAATCATGTCTCTAGCTTTAATTTTCCCAACTAATTTTTGATCTAAAAAATTAAATTGCCGCCAAGTGGAAATGGTGATACGAGATGAACAGAGTCAATTCCTTTATGATCTGTCTCGTAGATTTGGGAGAGTAGATATCCTGTTATTAGTAGAGGTGATGGAAGTTAAGGAGACATTGAAATGGCTCAGGAACTTGGTTGGATAATGACGAACTACTTTGGAGATGGACAATTTATTTGATAGTCTATCAAGTCCTACAAGATACTGAATAGAATTTCTCTTATTTTATTGGCTTAATTTATGATTGTATGAAGATGAGACATCATTTTCTCATCTTTAATTTCATGGACGGTATGTATAAGATGAGCAAATCAAGTTGATTACTTGCTAACTAGGGCAGCTGATTCTATGGAGTAGATTCTAAATGCGTTTGTTACACTCTGCAATTGGATGCTTTGAATAATTGAATTAATGCAAAACTTACTTTCAAAAATACAAGAGTGTGGATCTATATGCCAATCATATTTTTTGTGGACAATCTCACATGAGGTATATTCTCTTCGTTCTAAAAAAAACCAAAGTTTGACTTTTTATGTTAAAATATGCAATACTTTAACTATAAACTAAAGGTAAAATTATCGCAAATAATTTCACCTTTTCGCACACTTTAAAAAATAATCTCACTTTTCACTATCACTAGAAATAATCTCATATTTCGGCATGTTGTGAATTTTGGTTTGCTTTCCACTTAACGAATTTTTTAAAATTGCCTGTTTTTCGCAAAAAAAATGAAAAGTGAAATTATTTTAAGTAAATTCCCTTTTTTTTCATTTTTTAATATTTAACTTTAAATTTAAATGTATTTTTAAAAAATAATTTTATTAATAATTCCAAATTTAAGTTTGTTAGAGTAAAACTAATTGATTTTTTCAATAATCGTTAGTCTAGTAATAATTGAACATAAAAATATTCCATATAGTGGAGATAATTTATTTACTTTATAACTCACTACACTTTTTGTATGTTACAATTATTTTTCTTGTGCGGCAATTTGAATTGTTTTTGATATTATACTATTATTATTATTTAAAAAATGGCACTACAAAAATTTTGAAAATGACACAATATTTTTTTTCTCCAAAATGGCACTAATTAATTTTGCTTGATCGAATTTATTTTCAATTCAATTTAATTGATTATAGGAGTAAAATTTTAAAATAAAATTTATATAATAATAAACTACATGAAAAGTTCTACAAAACTAGAAGTGACAAGATTATATTATTTTACAAAATGACTAGTAAAAATGAGCAAACAAAGTGAGTAAATTTTGACCCTGTGAATAGTGTCTGGGAAGATCTATGGTGGACAGAGGGAGTATATATTTTCATTAATTTGTTTTCTTGTATGATTGTTTGTAAGAAAAACTTTCCTAGATTATTTTGATAACTCTTATATCATATATTTGGAGGGATATTTTAATGAAAATCAAGTCATTGAGTCTAAAAATTTTACAATGATTTCCTCTCCCTCCTACATTCCTCCAATCAAACAAACTAGTACTAGAAATTACTTTTCCTATATCCTAATTCTTCTCTATTTTTTTTCTTCTACTTGTTTTCTTTGTCAAACACAGGCTAGGCATGGTAAGTCTTGAGAGGATGACGACGATGATGCAGTTACACTTGAATGCAATGATGATACCAAACAAAAAGATGATACATTTCCATATCAGCAAACCCATTTTCCTTTTATTTCTCTTTTTTAAAAAATATTTTTTCAACTCAAACATTAATTTTTGGGATTTTAAATGGAACTCATGTTTGAGATTTGTCTCTATTGTGACCCTCATCAATGTTGTATGGGGTCCACCCACCTAGCCTAGAGTACGTGTCGATTGAAGAAAAATAGGATGAGTGCCCTCTTTGAAGACTTTCACAGATCCGATCGGACGGTCACTGAGAGGAAATTAATTGAACTTTATTCGTAGATTTGTGCTATGAAGTAGAGCATGCATCTGGTACATAAAGAGGTTTTATCGCAATGTAGTTGTCATGAATCAAATTCGAGTCTATCACTTGACACTCCGATCCCAATATTTACCAAATGTACAACGGCCACTAACAGTACGTGTTGATTGAAGATGTTATTCTGTCTCTGGCTCCATCGGGAGTACTAAAATTGATACTCCTCCCGTCCTAAAATTAACTTCTCATTTGACTGTTCACGGTCTCCAATTGCGACACTTTGACTATCAATATCTTCATTTTTATATAAATATATATTATAAAAACAATATATTTCAAAACAAGCAAAGTTTCAAAATAAATCTATTGATATTAAATTAAAATAAAAATTCAATATTTCCCCCCGTAAAATACAGTCAAAGTTTAAAAAATTTGACTAGAAAGTTAGTTTTAGTACGAAGGGAGTATTACTCTCTCTGTACATGACCAATCTTCTAACTTTTTTTATTTGTTCGTCTATAAATTATTTTTTCATTTTTTTTGGTAAATGTTTTTTCTTTAAACTACATTATCACCCTCACATTTTCCCACTAATCTAAAATTATTTTTAATTGTGTATTTCCCCTCAGCCCTCACAATGGATTTTTGAGTTTGACTTCACTTGATCCGTGTTGGTGGATGAAACCGTACTAACATGGAACGTACTTTTCTTCTGATGACATAGGTTCGTAGTTCGTACTATGTACTACACGGAGAAGCATTTGTTGCGTTGAAGTGAGGCTTCTAATAAGTCCAAATAACATTCTTGTAGAGACTACTCTTCTAGAAATGAATTGTCCAGAAAAAAGGCGATGACTCCATTTTTTGTAATGTTTCAGTGCAAAGATACTGAGTTGTATTGGTATATAAAGTTTGATTTATGAGATTGTAGTAAAGGCTAGATGAGGATCAGGAGAATTTGATGTTGTGAATGAATCTTCAGAGGCCATGTCTTGAGAGAAGAGATGCCTGTCAATGAGTCGGGTTCGGGCCGATCTATAGTGCTCTATACCCGTACATTTTTTTTTAAAAATTGATCCTAACTTGTACCCGCTAATCCGATGGGTCTTGAAATTTGATACTAGATTTGGACCCTTTGGCTCTCGATACCGGATCGGGTATATACCAATGATAAAAGTTGACATCTTTTATTTTTGTAAAATCTAAAAAAATGAGTGAAAATACTATGAATGAATATCATCTTAATTGAATGAAAAAAATAAAACTAATACATTATTCCAACAAAAATCACGATTATTTACCAAAAATTTGCAACAAATTAAAAATTTTAGATTCATAAGTAGCCTTCTTGTCACATTCATTCATGTTGCAGAAACATTTTTTATCAAATTACACCTAATTTCGAACTATTTATTTCATACTACTCCATAAAGCAACGTGCGCATTTCTCTAATATTGTGAAATAAATACAAATAGATTTGAAATTCACCCGATCTTTGACATATCATTTACTAAATTTGCAAAAGTAACACTTCTTAATTTAAGAGAAGGGGGTTGACCTGAGTTTATTGAAGAATAAAGAAAATATCAACAAGCCAACCTGACTATTTGATTTAACTATTTAAGGCTCCTTGAAAACAACGATTTGACAATTTAGCGAACCATGTAGCCAGGGAAGAAGGAGAGTAGGATTTTGTAATATTTTATCTTATGTATTTAACCACTACGAGTTTTAAACGGGTTGACATTACTTGTCCTATACCCAACCTTTTATTTTTTTTAAACAACAGGTACAGGTTCAAGCACAAGTAAATTAAACAATATTTTTTATATTTCTAAACCCGCTAAAAAGTTATAAGTATATATTATACATGTTCGGATTTATACCCGACTCATTGACATGCCTAGAAAGAGCTATCAAAAATGGAAAATCGATGTCAGTGAAATTGAATCTGCTGAGGAGGAAGATCGGGGAAGAGGGAAGATAGTATTTGGGGACTTGCTCCGATACCAGGAATTGAAGGATTGAAGAAATATGAACGTGCAATGTTTGTCATTCAGTTTTAAAAAAATATTAATTTGAACGTGCAATGTTCGTGCAAGAAAAAATGCTCGTGCAGTGTTCGTGCAAAAAATAAATATCGTAGGTTAAAGTCTAGAATCTTTTCCGGGGATACAAAAACAAGCTAAATTGGTTCATTAGACACCTTTAAGTATAATTCAAAACTATAACATAATAAGAATCCAATTATATTAAATTTATATCATAAATAAATATACTGTTTTCAAAAGTCAAAATAGGAAAGAGTTTATGAGAGGGGGATGTATTTGCTCATATGAACATGAAAATCGGGTTCCTACAAGCTCGGGTCGGACGCAAGGTATGTGCTCCAACTGTCTTCTTCTATCGTCCCATCCTCTCTATTACCCTGAAATACACCAAAGTTGCGGTGCTGCTGCTGGTGGTTGAGATGCGACCCATTATTTTTCGCCACCATCGATGTTCCCGATGATGACGGTGAGCTCCCGAAGAGCTTTGCCATGAAGCTCATCTCCTCATCACAAGTTTCAGCTAGAAGCGATGGCGGTGAATCACGGTGCTCGTTCTCCACAGGAAATAGTCCTGACGAGAACGAGCCCCTGTGCAGGGGGCTAGAAGTAGTGATCCCCTGTCGCTGGATCGGCTCCCGAACATCAAAAACTGAACTAGGCGGGCCGAGGGTCAGACCGCTGAAGTACTTGTATTTGATGTAGTTTTGGAGAACCAATGGCCTCCTTTTGTTCGCTGTGTGGCTGCTGCTGCTTGACCCCACCTCCCTTTCTCTTCTCTTTGAGAACTGCCGCCTCTTAGTGGCATTCCAGTGGTTCTTTATCGCGTTCTCGGACCGGCCCGGGATCTGCCTCGCGATCTCGGACCACCGATTCCCGAGCTGCTCGTGCAACTCCACCAAGAGCCTCTCTTCATCCTCGCTCCAAGAGGTTTTCTGTAAATTAATTTGTAATATTAAAGTGGAAATTAAAAATAGAAATTAAAAGAGGAGGCCGGTTCCCATGACACTAGGAGTGAAATTCAATATCATGGGATGACCCGTGGGTACTCAGTGCCGCGTTCGTAAAAATGACGGTTCAAAGCGGACTGGGGGGATTTACTGGGAAGATTAGTGGAGATACGATCCGTCAATTTTACGAACGGGACACCAGAACACCTCCGGACTATCCCATGACATTGATTCTCAATGTCACAGGAACCAAGGAGTTAAAAGAAAGTGAAATTTATTTTAAAAAGCAATACTTCTAATTGTGTACGCACTTACATCAGCTCTTTGTGCGGATACAATTAGACAATTGATATTTGTATGTGTTTGTGACAAGTTTGGTGTACACTTCGTATAAAAAAACTGGGATATCCCCACATTTTTTCAATTGTGTATAGTACTCCCTCCGTCCGGAAATGTTCTTCCTGTGTTGACTTGGCACGCTTATTAAGAAATAGTAAAAAAAATGCAAAATTTTCAAAAATGCACATACTATAAACTTTTAAATCTCCTTTTATTATTAAAAAAGTATTAAAAAAGTAGATTTGTGATAAAATAGATGGGTATTATTGATATTTAGCCTTAAAAAGCATACTAAAAAAGGAAATGGGAAGATTATTTCCGGACAGACCAAAAACGAAAATGGAAAGAATATTTTCGGACGGATGGAGTAACAAACTTTGTCGGTCTAAAGATTTGGCTATCACATGAAAATTGATTGGAGTCAACTTAATTAGCTTCTCATTAAGTCCGGTATCCCAAGAAGATTGACTACGCAAACAGATTGCATGGGAATTGTGCAAAAGTAGACCTATTTCTTTATTTTTCTTTTATACAACAATATGGTATAAATTTTGACCTATTAAAGTTTTTACTAAAACAGAAATGATATGATGCCTTTTTTAAAAAAATGGGAATACGTGGTTTTTTTCTAGTTAACAAAATTCTCATTTCATTTTCCACATTTTGTGAATTATATGATGCATTTTTTAAAAAATAGGGGAAATAGTGAGAAGAAGTATTAAAATATAGTGAAAGAATGAAAATAGGACTCACATATTTCCCAGAACATGACTAAAATTCCATTTTTATACACAATTCGTCCTAATCTAGAAAAAAATCTACATTAATGTATTTCTAGTTGTAGTTCCACAGTGTCACAATGTCATTATACAATATAATGTCAGCTGATCGATCGGAACTATAATGCCAAATATGGTGATGCATATAGACAAATATGGCACTGACGACTAATGCCAATCATGTTACTCGATCCCTCTCGTAATAATGTTTCAATATGTTTTTTAAGCAATACCAAAATAAGACTTCATTTTTCATATTAGGCAACATTTTTGTGGCTTACATGATTTTTTTCTCCTCTCCACTACTTTCAACCATACAATTTTATTTTTCTTAATTTTTGTATCGTTCAACTATGGAATATTATTATGGGATGAATAGAGTAATATATAATGTCAGAAATACTCTCTCCGTTTTTAAAACAATTCTTATATTGATTTTTTACGGATTTTTTTAATTTGACTTTTCAATTATATTTTTAGAAACAAAGAGAAAATATAGCTAGATAAATCACTTAAATATCTTATTATATCAATGCAATATGAATGATATATATTACAACAACTTTATTTAGATATATTCCCGTTATTTTATTCAAAAGTAAAAATGTTTTGTTAAAATGTAGAAAATAAAAAAAGGAATTTTAAAAACAGGAGTATGTCTAATAATAAAATGTTACTCTGTAAAAAACAATGTGATTTGTGAATGTAGAAGTCATCTTCGCATCACATACCATATTTCAAAAGAAAAGTTGAATGGCAAGACAATCCAAAATTTGTTGCGCACAACTTAAATCAACTCATATGGGTGGAACATTTTTTTAAACACTAATAACTCAGTCACAACTTAAATTAACTTAAATTTTGCACAAACTAATATTAACTTAAAGTGATTAGTTTTGAATTTGTGTTTAAAAAGAGTTTTGAATTTTGACCATCGCCATAGCTGCACATTCATGATTATTGCTATTAGTAAATAGTACGGAGTAATAAACTGCTAATCGACAACATTTGTTTATGTTTTTTAAAATTCAAAACTAATTTATGTCATATTTTGGGATAAAACATGTCTTACCTATTTAGGGAATAAGAGGTATTTTTTGGCCCTATCAAGATACATTTCTTAAATAAATACTACAATTATCTCCGAATATTTGCTTAATATTTAACTTTTTTCAGTCAAAATTATCAAAATTTATAAACTAATTAAATAAAATTCAAATTATATATGAATAAAAAAATAACTTCATTAATATTATTTTATAAAGTATTTTTAAAATATTACTTTATCTAATTACTACGGAGTATATCATATAGGAATAATTTTTGTTTAATTTCAGATCTATGTTAAACATGTTTGGCGTGTGGCAAAAAGTTAAAATTAGACAAATTAAAATGCCAATAAAATATGAACTTTAGTTGAAATGGAACCAAATGATAATGGCGCAATTACCTGATTACCTTATCTTTTAAATAAAATAAGTTCTTCAGATATTTGATTTTTAATTTTAAATGAACTTAGTCTATTTACAAGCTTTTTTATTCCAATTGTTTGTGCAGAAATTATTAGTAAGGAAAAATTTAGGGGCATCTAAGACCCACCTATATATAGCTTGATAAAAATTTATATAATGCTATGATAAATATTATTCAAAACATTAATAATAATTAAAATGTTTTTCCATAAAATAAAGAGCTAAAATCCACTATTGGTCCTTCAATTTTATCAGTTCTGCACGATTGGTCCTTCAAGTTTCAAAAGTCCATAAATAGTCCTTCAACTTTATGAGTTCTGCACCATTGGTACTTCAAGTTTCAAAAGTCCATAATTAGTCCTTCAGGTACACGTCAGCCCTCCAGATGAAGTTCTTTTGTCAGTAAATATTAAAAGTTAAACGAAATACTAGTTTCATATAATACGAGTAAATTCCACTAGGTACGACTACTCCGTATTATATGGAGCTAGTATTCCATTTAGCTTTTAACATTTACTGTCAAAATGATCTTATCTGGAGGGCTGATGTGTATTTGAAGGACTACTTATGTACTTTTAAAACTTGAAAGACCAATCATGCATAACTCATAAAGTTGAAGGACTATTTATGGACTTTGAAAACTTGAAGAACTAATCGTGCATAATTGATAAAATTGAAGGATAAATGGTGGAGTTTAGCCTAAAATAAAGTCCATAATCAGTAATCACTGTCAGAGTATATCCGATCCTTTCGTGTTCATTAACCAATACATTGTATGCTCGTTCCATGCCATTTTAATTTGGTACTCAAACATTACAAATTAAAATTCATTCACCCAGTGCCACTTTAAATCTGGTACTTAACACAGCTAAAAATTTCCAATGTGATTCCGTTTAAGTTAAAAATAGATTGTATTGTAAAATGTAATATAAAATTTAAATATTTAGAGCTAAATTGCAAATTTAAAGCTTGAGGTTTTTAATTTGACAATTTTTGTACTCCGTAGTTGTTTACACAAATCAGTGTGGCTCTAATTGTTTATACAATTTTAAAGCACATATGGTGGTCCGTTTATAAAATTGATAATTTGTACAGTTCCTCTCCTCCGGCCTCCTCCCTCGAAATCTTTCACCCAACTCACACTTGACCTCCTCCAAATGTGTGGTCATTACGCGATTACCAAATGACAACATATTTGGAGAGATAGTGGTCGAAGGCTTAGGGCAATTGGGGATGTTTTTGTAAACAGAGCATTGTAGATAGTATAAAAAGCCTGTGGCAACAGAATCGGGATGTATATAATTTTGTTTTGTTTTTGCCTTAAAGTATCATGTGTATACCTCAAGTGGTAATGCTGGGGTTCAGGGGCAGTGCTCTCAAAATTTTTTAAGTCCTCAAGAATTTATTTTTAGACACTTCTCAAAAAGCCTCATACTAATGAGATTGGATCAAGTTATATATTTTGGTTCATTTACTCCTAAACTTTCGGTGAGGGACTTGGAAGAATCACAACAAATTAGACTCATTTGGGGAATTTACTCCAATTTAAAGACATGGTCATATTTGTGAATTCACATAAAACCTTGTATATGAAAGCAAAAACGAGGTGGGTAAAACTTGGGCACCATATTTTGGACACTTTAGGACCTCTCGAATCCAACAAGAAATTTTAAGACTCTTTCACATATTTTATCAAGAGACCGGTTCTAGAGCCACTGGAATCCCGTGGCTACGGAAGCCACTGTCCCCCTACGGAGCTCTGTTCATGAAATTGATGATTCCTACCTCCCTAACCTCCCCGGTAAATCCCCTGCCAAGTCTCGAACCAAACTACTCCCCCCACCTATGTCAATTGCACCTCGCAAGTATAATTGACTTAAAAGTCAAAAATTTTGACTTTCTACTTGCGAGGTGCAATTGACGTGTGTGAGGGGAGTAGTTTGGGTCGAGACTTGACGGGAGGGTTTATCGGGGGAGTTAGAGGGGTAGGAATCATCAATTTTATGAACGGAGTTCCGTAGGGGGCAGTGGCTTCTGTAGCCACTGGATTCCAGTGGCTCTAGAACCGGCCTCTTTTGAGACCGTTCTAGAGCCACTGGAATCCAGTGGCTACGGAAGCCACTGCCCCCCTACGGAGCTCTGTTCATGAAATTGATGATTCCTACCCCCTAACCTCCCCGGTAAATCCCCCGCCAAGTCTCGAACCAAACTACTCCCCCCACCTATGTCAATTGCACCTCGCAAGTATAATTGACTTAAAAGTCAAAAATTTTGACTTTCTACTTGCGAGGTGCAATTGACGTATGTGAGGGGAGTAGTTTGGGTCGAGACTTGGCGGGAGGGTTTATCGGGGAGTTAGAGGGGTAGGAATCATCAATTTTATGAACGGAGCTCCGTAAGGGGCAGTGGCTTCTATAGCCACTGGATTCCAGTGGCTACGGAAGCCACTGCCCCCCTACGGAGCTCTAAATCCCCCGCCAAGTCTCGAACCAAACTACTCCCCCCACAGGCTTTTTATACTATCTACAATGAAATTGATGTTTTATTTCATTAACTATTTATGTTTACACAATTATCTATTACGAGTATATAATTGTACGTAGTACTATACATTAAGTTTTTAGCAAATTTATTTATAAATATGATTAACCATTATAAAAATTTAAGAACATGAAATATTGCAGGAGTGCTCCGCATATACTAAAATTAGAGAACATTATAGGAAGACAACACACCAATTACATAAAGTAAATGAGTACATTACATGAAAATTACTTAAATAAACGCACATAAAATGTAAATTGTATAAAATATAGATAAACACACAAAAAGTGTGTTTAGCTTTTTTTTAATTTTTTGTATTTTAACATTATTAATTTTGTTGGGGGTTTTTATGGTTTTTACATAACAATTTAACTATTTTTTATTTTTAGAAAATAATTGTTTCTAATTGCAAGTGTTTAATTTTCATTGAATAAATTGAGTTAATTAGCGCTCTGGAAGTGAGTCTGAGATTTCAAAGACTTACTTCAAGACTTTTCTCAGTTTTTGTATATCTCAATGGTTGAGTCTCAAGAAGAAAGTCTTAAGTCGATTCCTCCCACTTCCTTATTCCTTACTACTCTCATTGGGGAGGCCCCTTGGTGTTACTTTTTTACCATCTCCCTTGTAGTGCTTAGTCTAGTTTGACTCATTCTAGTGAATCAGTTGAATAAATATAATGTGATATGTATTATGTACGATAATAATAAGTGGCCCGAGACATACTTTTTCCATTCTAAATTAATTATCTCATTTTTCTTTTTAGTCGATCTTAAAAAATTGTATCGGTTCTTCACTTCTTAATAAAAAAGAACATGTAATACATAACATTTCTCTTTCTTCAAAACAAATTTTAATCACTCAGTTCTTATTTCAAATGCTTTTCTTAAATTTCGTAAAATTAAACTACGGAGTATAACATAATAAATGAAAAAACAAAAGTTAAAAAATACGAGTAAGAAAAAAGGAAGGAGTGAAATTAACCTTGATATCCGGACGAAGATGGTTGCGCCACCTCTCCCTGCATTGTTTCCCGGCTCGACCCACCATCTTCCTCGCGATCATACTCCATTTCCTATCTCCCATCTCGCTTACCAGCTTCACCAAAGCCCTATTTCCCATTTCACCCCCACATTATTAGTACGAACTATTATTATTAATCATTCATTAATCTCTAGTATATAAATTGATNAAAAAACAAAAGTTAAAAAATACGAGTAAGAAAAAAGGAAGGAGTGAAATTAACCTTGATATCCGGACGAAGATGGTTGCGCCACCTCTCCCTGCATTGTTTCCCGGCTCGACCCACCATCTTCCTCGCGATCATACTCCATTTCCTATCTCCCATCTCGCTTACCAGCTTCACCAAAGCCCTATTTCCCATTTCACCCCCACATTATTAGTACGAACTATTATTATTAATCATTCATTAATCTCTAGTATATAAATTGATCATTTATTCATTAATCCCATTTCACCCGGCCCCCACATCATTTCATTTATCATAAATTATACGAAGTATATTGAATAAAATAAATAATATTCTCCCTCCATTCCATTATACCATTCCCATTTTTACTTTGGGTCAAAATAAGAAAACTGTATTTTTGGTTGACTTTCCAATTTTCCCCCGATGTGATAGGTAAAAGTAAGATGTGATATTTTGGTTATTAGTAAAAAAGTATGAAGTAATAGGTAGGGTATGAAAAATAGGAGTAAAGAGATTTTTTTAATAGAAAGTGGAAATGTTTTAGAGAACTAGAAAAAATGAAAGAGGAAAGATTTAATGGACCTGAAGGATTAATTAATTTTGGGGAAGCGAAGGAAACAATGGATAACTGAATACTGAAGGGCTTGACGGTCTGTTCAACTTATTTTTCAACTTATTAGTTATTCTTATTAATATTAGATTAGATCACACGGGGTCCGATCTAATATAATTAAATCAGATCTAATTAGATCAAATTAAATCAAAAAAAGTTTTAAATGAACTACAAAGAGATCAAATCAAATCATACAAGAACAGATCTAATTAGATTCGACCTAATCAGATCAGATTTGATCCAATTCAATCAGATCAGACCAGTTCTTTAGAAAATCAAATCAGGTAAAGTGAACGGGTCGCAGCCTGAGTATACACGATCTTATAAAAATTGTTCTTCCAAAAAAGCAATATTACCCCTCATTGATTTGACTTTTTACAATCAAAATGTACAAATGTTGACCATAAACAAAATTTATAATATTTATACAAAAATATTTTTATTAGGTTTATCTTGTGAAATATTTTGAAAATATTATTATTTTTTGAATTAATATTTCACATAATTTTTTAATTTTAGGTCAAAGGTTGATTTTGATTGACTCTAAAAAATTAAAATTGGACAAACACTCTGAAATGAAGAAAGTAATTGATGTGGTGCATTGAACTCCCTAAGAGAGAGCTAAGATCAAGCAAAAGTTTTTGGAAAATGAAAAAATTAGGGTGTCATTTTTACACACACACAAATATATATATAATGGAAGATGAGATAAAAAATAAATTATGTGTAATTGATATTTATTTACAAAATAAAATGCGAAAAAAATTAACCACGAAACATACTCGTTTCTTTTAAAGAGAGTGTCTATATATAGAGTGTTTGGAGAATAAAATTTATGGTGAAATGACCCAAAATGGAAAAAGTGGAGTACCTTTAGAAATTGAGGTTTAGAGTCAATGACTCGAGATATAAATCTATGAATAAAAGAGGTGCAAATTTAGAACCATTTTTGGTCAATTTAAGTTCTAAAAAAATAAACTAGTTTTTAGTATTTTTAATGAACTAGTTAAATAATTTTAAAAATTAAAATTTTCAGATTCTAGCTAAAAGGATTAAAATATTTGTAAACAATTAAAAAACATAATTGAGTTGATGAAGATAATGGTGATCACCTATCTTCTTCTTCACTCCATTGTCCCTTGATAATAAAGCCAACTCCATTACTATTTGATGCATCCTCATTTGCTTTCCCCATCTCTCTTGTTTCTTGATGACTTGTGAGTGCACTCCTTTCTTGAGTAGCCCACATTAACCCTTGGGGAGCGCTTGCCCAGCGGTCCCATGCGTTTACATTGGGAACAGAGAACCAGGTGTTATCTGCCCCAGCACGACTATTCGTACAGTTGGCAAAACTATTAATAAAAGTAGATGGAAATTTTTCATGGAGGGAAACCTCGCCAAACATGTTTTCATCCATTAATGGCGAGAAAGAAGAGACTGGTTTTCGGAAATCGACGAACGACTGGAAACCGCCACCGTCACTTTCCATGAATGGTTATTTAATATATTGAATGAAGTCAATCTAGAGGAGGTTGATGGATGTCTCTATGTGAAATGTGGAGAGAAGGGCTAAATGAGAGGGTTGCATATATGTGAAGACAAAGGGGCTTTTATATAGATTATCATGATTAATATTATCAAAAGGTGCTAATTTGACTAAAATGGTTGAACCACCTAAGACCAAGATAATAAACCACAAGAAACATTTTAATTAAGTCCCCCTCTTGATTACATGGACATTTGTTTGTCACTATTTTGTGAAAATTAAATACCTAATTTTTACTTATTGAGTGTTTAATTTTCTTCTTAATTGATGGCTTTGTGTAGTGATTTAATTTGCCAATCTATTTTAACTTATTTCCATTGCAATTTAATTACACTTCTGAAACATTTGTTACAAAATTTAAAATTGTTGCTTCAAAACCATTAAAAACAACCCTAAAAAGGGAAGTGGACTAATATATGTTTGGACATTGACAGATTAGTAGCTGAGCTTAGCATATAGTACAGTGAGAAGTTATTGGTTGTATAAGGAGACTTGTAGTGTGACATTTCATGTGAGGCTTTATATAACGGCTGATGTGGGCCGGCCAAATCGAATATACTTCCTATGTCTCGGTTTAATTTGGACATTTTTTTTTGAAATATTTCTAAATAAGATAACACATTATTTTCTTTCTTAAAAAAAAGAATATGCACTTGATAATTCTTATCTCTTTTCTAAACATATATCGTTCATTCATTTTTTTGTTTCAATATTTGATTTCCTTTAAACTATGTGAAATCAAACTGTTCAAATAGAATCACAATGTACGGAGGACGTATGGAGTATATACTTTCTCTAATATGATTCTCCTCATCAGGATACGTCAATATATGGGTGGATACAAGTGTTATTGGGTCGATACGAGTGTTGTGATATACGGAGTAAGATTTTACGACTCTTTTAAAGTGACCAACTAACTGTATTTAATATCCCACGACGATTCTTTTGATCTTAGAAACAAATTATTCGGGAATAATTTAAAAACCAACATTGATGCGTTGATAAAATTAATAATTCATATCATCCTTTTAAACCTCTCGTCTCAACCCTCCTTCTCAGCCACCACTACAGCCCCTCTCCCTTTTCTAGCAGTATAATGCCAGGGAGGGAGGAGGTTGTGTGGAGGTTTAGGAAAGATTTAGAGAACAATGTACTATAAATTTATAATGAAAGTATACCCGAATCATTTACAGCTAGTTTCTTTAATGTTAAAAGAATATTGCCCTAAAATCCTAAATATATGCAAGTAAACTATTAGTAAATCAAGTGTATATATGTGTGTCACCCCATTCCTTTCATGGATCACACTTTACAATTTTTATATTGATGAGTCGGTTGGTTATAATTCATACATTGCATTCCGTAACAAACATATTTTTCGACACGTATTTTGTGTCATTTAAAGAACAACTTTAAAAAAAGAATGTTATTTTTATCATATATATATATCAAATATTTTTAAACAATTCAAGTCTGCTTATTACTTTTTCCGGTCCTAAAAATCTTTCTTGTTTTAATCTTTTTTGGTCAAACAGTGACATACTTTGACTATAAATTATAAAAATATATACTTAATTATAATATAGATCGAATATAATTGGGTTCATGAAAATGTTAAAGTGTCACATGTAATTGTGGAGCAATGTTCGGGCAAATCGACTGAGCCGCTTGACCAAGGGCGTCTACATTTTAGGGGGCTGCCTAACTAAAACTAAAATATTTTTAATATATTAAAATAGATTGTTCAATAAAATTAAGACTTATGATCGATGTCAAATAAATCAAAATATAATACTCCACATAAAAAATACAAAGAAATACCAACACACAATGATTATACACACATTGGGCTTATCTATTCATTCTTTTAGGCCCAATGATCATACACACATTGGGCTTGTGTATTCCTTTTTTGAGGCCTTGGCACATCTTAGAATGAGACTCTCTAAGTCACAAAACATAACTTTAATTTATCAAGCACTATACAAATAGATTTTTTCAGGAGAATATTGTTCTCCCAACCAAACACATTTAGTATAAATTTTGGGCCACATAATTTTTGGGCCTGGTGCAAGGGCACCACTTAGAATCCCCCATATGGTGGGGATGCGCAGACAACATTTCAGGCCTCAATTTTGGGCATCAAATTTTGGCCTCAACTTTGGCCTCGCTTGCACTGAGAGCTGTCCAAACTGCTTTGGTTGCATCTGAAATTAGTACTGCGCGGCCTGGTCTTTGTAGAAAGTTTTGCTACCCAACGGAGTAGCAGTAGATCCGGTATCAATTACGGAGTAATTTAGTACTGATCTCTCGGACCAAATATTTTAGTGCGGTATGAGATTCTACATTGTACAAGTTTCGATCCCAAAATTTTTGTTTAAAATGGTTCAGAATGATTCGGTAGCGGTTTGATATAAATCGGGATGAATGCATTCACACCTAATTTAAACTTTAAATTGTCACGAAACTATTTTTTTGAAAAATTAAAAATATATCAACCTATTCTTAAAAGCAAGGGAATTATGCCCCATGCTTTTTCCCGCCCATTTGCCAAGCCTTATGAGCCATTGATATTTGTCAATCTATGCATCTACGGCCCATATTTACTACGGATGAAAAGGAGAAAAAAAGGAAATAAGTATTAAATAAGTACAACAAAATCAACATATTCTTAAAAGCAGAGGAATTATGCCCCATGCTTTTTCCCGCCCATTTGCCAAGCCTTATGAGCCATTGATATTTACCAATCTATGCATCTACGGCCCATATTTACTGCGGATGAAAAGGAGAAAAAAAGGAAATAAGTATTAAATAAGTACAACAAAAAAGGCTTTAAAAGGAATCACATTTATATACGATATTAACACACAATTTTATATCTAAATTACTAATTAATAATAAGTGTAACGAAAAAAATTAATTTATTCCCACGAAAATTATTAATAATTTATATTTAACGTGTTAGATGCATTGGTAAAAAATAATTAATACTCCGTAATTTGTAACGAAAAAAATTAAAATAATTAATAATTTGTAACGAAAAAAAGTATTGATTATTTGGAAACACATTTATACAATATTGTAAGATAATTCATACGTATTAAATATATATCGCATAAAAAGGCTTTAAAAGGAAACACATGTATACATTATTATAATTAGATAGTTTCATTTTTTGAAATGCATAAGTACCGTATTCTTAAAAAGGGAAACAAAAAAAAAGGTATTTAAAGAATTAAGTGATTACAAAAAAGGAAATCCCGTGCATATATTAAATAAATACACAGTATAAAATTCGTATATTTATTATTGATTTGGAGGAAAAAGGAAAGCTACCGATTATACTTATTTTGCAATAATTCGTATATTTATTTATTATAAATTACTAATTAATAATAATTGTAACGGAAAAAATTAATTTATTAATTTATTCCCAGGGAAATGATTGGTTAGATTAAAAAAAGAATCCGAGTATATTTAATAAATAAAAAGTATAAAACGGAAATTATTAATAATTTAGATTTAACGTGTTAGATGCCTTGGTAAAAAATACGAGTAATTAATAATTTGTAATGAAAAAAATGAAAATAATTAATAATTTGTAACGAAAAAAAGTATTAATTATTTGGAAACACATTTATACAATATTGTAAGAATGCATAAGTACCGTATTCTTAAAAAGGGAAACACAAGAAAGGTATTTAAGGAATTAAATGATTACAAAAAAGGAAATCTCGTGCATATATTAAATAAATACACAGTATAAAATTCATATATTTATTATTGATTTGGAGGAAAAAAGGAAAGCTACCAATTATACTTATTTTGCAATAATTCATATATTTATTTCGTTTCTTTTTAGGAAAATAGGAAAGCTATCCATACGAAAATAGGAAGGGACAGTGCAGGAGATTTTTTATATTTTGTCTCCTTTTTAAATAGGTAATTATTTAGGCCTAATTATTACTATTATTATTATAATTACTTGGAATAATTTACGCCTGATTATTTTATCAAAAAGTAATTATTTATGCCTAATTAAATAGGTAATCATCCTATTCATAAAAGCAGTGGAATTATGCCCCATGCTTTTTCCCGCCCAAACGCTATCGTTTATGGACCATCAATTTTGATCTACATTTTTAATCTACGGTAATTATAATTAAGCAACATGCAAATATGGCTTTATTTCATTCTATAAAAGGAAAATACCTTATAAGATTCATGTGTAATTTAATGCGGTGTAAATTTCAATCATTCATTCTTTTTAATTCTTTTTTTTTAAAACACTCGCCATTTTAATATCTTAAATCGTATTTATGAAGTCACTTGGGCAGGAAAACGATGAGTACATGTTTCCCCTTCTTTTCAGAATAGGGAAGATGTGGTGGAGATAATTTATGTATTACACAATTGAAAAACATTATATTTCATTATATGGTGTACCAATATTAATTTATAACGTTAATACGAACCGTGTAACGCACGAGATGTGATACTAGTTTAAATAAAGAAACATAGAAAACTAAAAACTAAAAAATTAAATGCAAGAAATGCTTATGAAGTTTAGTTTATACTCCGTATTTCACTAACTAAAGTGAACTGACGATAACAAAATGATAATCCAAATGTTTGTCAATATTTTAAAACTTGTCTATAAAAAATTCAAACTCAAACTAAAATGTGCACATAATAAATTTTAAATAAAATTTTAAGAATAAACTTATTATTTAATAAAAAATATAAAAAGATTATTATATTTATAATATATTAGTATATATATTCAGTTTAAGATTTTCGGTATGAGAAGTTATCTTGTTACGATTCAGTATTTTAGCAGTAGTTTTTTAGTTTAGTTTTCTCAGTTTTCTCAAATATTTTTGGTATGGGATAAAAACCAAAGTAGGACTAAAATATTGAAAATATACCAAAATAGGACTTTCATATTTTTATTTCCGAAATAGGACTTACATTACCATACATGGTCATATACATTACCAAAAAAGTATAGTAATTTACATATTTACACTGCCACATTACAACAGAACAAAGTCACATTACCACAGTGCAAAATCTTATTTTGAGAAAAAAAACATGAAAGTTCTATTTTAATACTTTTCTTTATGTTTTATTCCTATTTAGGGTGATTTCAATTATTTTAATTGTACTCCCTCTGTCCACCATAGATCTTCTCAGACACTATTCACAAGGTCAAATTTAATTCATTTTGTATGTTTATTTTTACTACTCATTTCATAAAATTTTACCATAGAACTTTTAATGTAGTTTATTACTACATAGATTTTATACGGAGTATTAAAATTTTACCCTTATATTCAAATAAATTGAATTGAAAATAAAGTCGGTCAAGTCTCATAACGCGCAATGGAAGATCTTAGTTGGACGGGAGAGTATTATATAGTCACTGTCGTTTTCCAATTGGCTCTAACTTTAGAAACCATCACTCCCGTGGGTCCACCCAGTTTCGAAACCAGCAATCCATATTTTCTTCCCGGTTTTCAGTTTCTACCTGCAACCCACCCCTTCTCTATACAATCTACACAGCGAATCCAGCATCGCCACGTCATCTCATCGCTCAATGAAATGTCCGAATTGCCCCTAGCCACGCCCAGCTGGCGGTGCATCGCCGTGGGTCCAGTCCACCCGACCGTGAGCTGATTTGCACCCGATCGCTACCCTCTGCTACGGGTATCGATAATGGATAAGGCAGCAATCAATAAACAACAATAATAAATTCCAAAAACTTAATCTAAAATGAAACGAAATAAGAAAAAAAAGATTTTTTTTATTCATTTTCTTTCTGGGTATTTAATAAAGCTCCGAAATTCGTAGCTGCTCGTTCAATGGAAGTGTGAGAGTTCTGGAAAATAAGGCGCTTTTCAGGGTTTTTTTTTCTTTTTCTCGCTTTTAATTTTCTTGAAATCCGAGGGTTTATCAGTGTTTGAATGAGAATTATTGGGGTTTGATCGTTGATTGAAGCGATGGGTAGATCGTTTAAGGACTCAATTAAGGCTCTTGAAGCTGATATTCAGCTCGCCAACACTATGTAATCCCCCTCGACTCTCTGGTTTCTTGTTCTTGTTCTCTCCTATTGTTGTTTAATCTGAAGCTCTTTTTTTGGATACGTGCTGTAATTTTAAGGAAATATAAAAGCCATGGATGCTCTGTTCTGGTGAAAAATTTGTGCTTTTCAAGGCTAAGGAGCTTCTTTCCTCTTAACAAATCTGTAGGAGTGTTTGGTTTCTTTGATCAAAAGTTGCATATGTATCTGCTGTGTTTGGTTTTTACCCTGTAGCATTTTTTTGATGAGAAATATGTTGTTTTTTAGCATTTCGGCAAGACTGGCAGTTTTCTAATAAGCATTTTGCTGGCAAATAGGGTAATTTTGGCGTTGTTTTTTTGAAATAACGTTTTCAATTAGCTTTTTAGATACATTTTTAATGATGCATATTAACTTTGAAAATGGTAATGTAAACCGTGCCATTCGATTGCGTTTCAAAGTGCTAAGGTAAACGGACACTTAAGCATTTTGATGCATTTGTTAGTGTTTTCGGTTAGCAATTTGATGTTTGAAATGAGTGTGTTCTTTGTTTATATGTATCAGGGCATTGGGCTATCGCCGAGAGGTAGATGGAGCTTGCATCCAGATGAGGCTGTCCTACAGCCCAGCTGCCCAGTTCTGTCTTTTTCTCATCCAGTGGTTTGATTGTAAGGTTGCCGGTGCACTTGGGCTGCTTCAAGTTCTTGTTTATATGGTGATTCCTCTTGCGATTTTTAGGCTCCTGTGATACATTTGTTCTCAAAACCACATACATTTAGGTTCTCTTTGGATCCCAATGAACATGTTTAAGGAAAGAAAATACCAAGAAAAAGTTGAGGGTTAGTGATCATATTTCATTTTTCCAAGTAAAATAGTACAGAAGAAAACACATTTCTTTAGTACTCCAATGCTCTGCATTCGGTGACATTGTCCGGGTTCCAAACATGCCTTCACATATAGCGTTTTATTAGAACATTTTTTATTCTTGGGAAAATCTTGGAGGAATTATATAATGGGATTTTTTCCGTGTTGCAGGCGTACGTGGATGGAAAAACGTCTATGTACATTAAAGAAAGGAGGGCAAGCATTAAGGAGTTTTATGGTGTGTGAGTTATTACAATGTAAATGTACATTAAGATGCTTCTTCTCTAGCTGGTTTTGACCTAAGCATTTTACCCACCCGTTGTTTCCTCAGAGATAATTTTCCCTTCATTGCAAATCCAAAGAGGGATTACTGATTTTGAAGAAATCAAACAGAAAGAAATATGCTCTCTCCGGTACTCCACCAAAACCAAAGGGAAGCTTTCCGAAGTGGAATTGGAAAGAGAAGCAGAGTGTGGAATCTGCTTGGAACCTAATGGCAAAGTTGTTTTGCCAGATTGCTGGCATTCCCTCTGTCTAAAATGCTACCAAGACTGGTAACTCCTCCATTTCTCCCTTTCCATTATATCTAATACAAAAATACTGTTATTAGAGTATAAAATCTTTTCCAAACTTACAACCACAAGCTTGAACTTTTTGTTGAATTGGTTCTTTGATATAATATCATAACTTCGTGTTAAAGTATCATGCCTTCTTCGAAACTTACAACCACAAGTTTGAGCTTTTGATTTGACATAATATCATAACTTCGTGTTAAAGTGTCAAGCCTTTTTCTGAACCTAGAAATACAAGCTTGAGCTTTGGCTGAGTTGGTTCTTTGACATGATATCAGACCTGTATGTTAGAGTATCTAGGCTTTTGTGGGACTAAAACTAAACTACAAGTTTGTACTTTTGGTTGATTTGGGTTTTTGACGTATATACCCTTGATGGTTACCGTGTTGGTCGCATACTATGTCTTTCAGGCGTAGCAGGTCGGTTTCGTGTCCATTTTGCAGAAGCAGCCTAAGGAGAGTAGATTCAGGTGACCTTTGGGTATGTGTGGAGAAAAGTGACAGTGTGGAATTGCCTGAGATTCTAAAGGAGGACTGGCAGAGGCTGTATAGGTACATAGAAAAATTACCAGTCGTCATTCCAGAACCTCAGTTCAATCCTTATTATCGCCCTCACCTTCGGTGAGGGCTGATCGGGTTGAACCAATATTATGTAAATAGTTTTTATGTGAACAAGTTCTAGTAGCGTCACGTCCGGTTATTGATCCCTCGTGCCCGTGGGTTGATGTGCTGTTCTTGAGATGGCCTTTTTTTTTTCCTTTTTCTGATGATCCTTTGGGTTTCTGCTAGTTTCAGAACATAATGGTGTACATAAAATGAATGTACTTGTTTTTAATTCTCTGTGCATTGGAATTTAATGAGTTAGACGGTGCAAAATGCAAACCCGTTCTACAATGTTATAAATTTCATAGCCAGGGTTCAGGACGGCAATCCCCACTCCCCCAGTACCAGGTTCCAAGGGGGAGTAATCCCTATCTGGATTGGACTCCGAATTTTTTATTTTGAACATTGTTTCTTTGTGAGGATTCTTTATATTTTCATAAACGAAGTCAAAATAAGGAAAAATTCGAATGCATGAAATAATACATTCGAATAACGCCTTTTGAAAAAAATGAGAATTACGATGTAAAATTCTATAATTTTTTTAAATAATTTTATTTGCAAATTGGTACATCAATAAGAAATAAAAATTATGGAGTATTAAAAAACTATGTCCAAAGTTCTATATAACAAGAGGTGACAAGAATATGTTATTTTATCAAATAATCAATGAAAACATACAAATAAACAAAAATTGTCGAGAGGAGAGAAAAAATAAAATTGTAATAAAAATGGGGATGGATGGAGCATTTAAAATTGGTGAAATGAAATGTTTAAGAATAGCTGCTGCATACTTACCAAAACATTCAAATGTTTTGCATATATTAGGCCCGTTCGATCAATTTGTGCTTTATATATATATATGAAGTCTTGAGGTATGTTTGAGAGATACAGAACTTCTATAGTTGCTTTTAAATACTTACATCTAATTCGATTGAAGTATATGATATATCACGAAATAATTTTAATTTGAAAACGTATTTTACGCGATTTGCTAAGTTTATCAAGTTTTCCTCACGTTTATCATATACCAATCAACTTGTAACACTACATGGCATTGCCTCTCCCTTTTAATTTCCAACAAAAATGAAATGAAAACATAATTTTATGGGAGCATGTTATAATCCCTTGTCTCCATTCATGAGAATCACATATGATTTATATGTACATGAACAATGATTATGTGTAAACACATACCTTTTATCGTCTATATTACTACATAATCATATGTGATTCTCATATATTAAACATTTTCATAAGTAGGTTTTTAGCATTATTCTCTTTTACAAAGGAGGGGGATATAGCATCTTTTTTGGAGATGCTCAGATGCACTTGGATACACAAACTTGAACGCAGTCGAGGAAAAACGGTACGGTTCATAAAAATGCAGAAAAGCCAAAAACACATTTACTTCAAATGTATGGGATTCTTGACACCTAGCTATCCATTTCTCCTGCTCTGCCAACTACGTGGTGCTCATGCAAGATCCATCCATGGCAGCAGCAGATGCACATCTCACCGTTGAAATTTCCGGGAAATTTGGATTCCGCCACCCCCTTTTATCCCCTAAAGAGTTCTTCTTCTATATAGACACGCAAATCACCGCGGCAGTTCATTTCATCTCAGATACTTTCCCATTTGCGGCTGTGAAATTTAACTAAAAATGGGTTCTTTCGGTAAGGGCAAGTTGGAGGTGGAGGAGCAGAGCGCCGCCGCCGTCTGCAGGACCGCACACAGCTTGTCTTCCTCCATTGTGAGGAAAAGATCCGACCCGGAACTTGTTTCTCGGATACGGTTTCGGGTCCTCCGCCAGCTCCTCGCAAATCTCCAGCAGGTGATTCTTGGGACCAAGCTCTGTGTGCTTTTCCCGGCCATCCCTCTCGCCATGCTCGCTCATCTCTACTGCTTCAAAAGGGTATGCCCAAATTCTTCACTCAAATTTAAAGTCCCATTCTTTTTCATTTGATGGAAAACAATTTGTTCTTGCATTTATTTATTGGAGCATAGCCATGGATTTTTGCTCTGAGTTTACTGGGACTAGCCCCTCTTGCTGAAAGAGTCTGTTTCTTGACAGAGTAAGTTGGAATGAAGCTTAATTTACCAGATTCTTTACCCTTTTAATCTAACATTTGACTCATTTGAGTTTTGTTTTGTGTAAACTGTGGAAAGGCAAATTGCTAATTACACCGGACCAACAGGTGAGTGAGAATTAATCCTCCTAATCAAGAACCCAACAAATTAAAAAGTTGTTTTTTTAAAAAAATTTTAAAGAAAAATCAGATAAATATATCATGCATTGAGGAAGATGAATGAACATAATGATGCAGTGGGAGGACTGCTAAATGCAACATGTGGGAATGCAACAGAGCTGATAATAGCAATGCTTGCCCTTCACCAGAGAAAGATTCATGTCCTCAAATACTCCCTCTTAGGCTCCATTCTTTCCAACCTTCTCCTCGTCCTCGGAACCTCTCTTTTCTCTGGCGGATTGGCCAACATCAAGGACCACCAGAGATTCGACCGAGTAAGTTTTCTAACGACAACAAAAACATGGGTTCTTTCTGGCCCAAAACAAAAACTCTCATTCCTATGTTTTGTGGGGATTGGACAGAAGCAGAGTGATGTGAGCACGTCGATGATGTTGTTGGGGTTGCTGTGTGTGGCACTGCCGCTGATGGTCAGGTATTCGGTTGAGGAATCGGAATCCGCAGTGAGCTCAGCAGCAGCATTGTGGCTGTCCAGAGCAAACAGCACTTTCATGCTAGGGGCCTACGCGGCGTACCTCTTCTTCCAACTCAAAACTCACAGACAGTTGTTTGATTCTCCAGAGGTATAAAAAAAGAAAAGAAACAAATGGGTATATTGGGAGAAGTTCAGATGCATAAACGAATTAGGTTCAATATATTTAAGAAGAAACAAATTGGTATTGTACAATTAGCCTCTTTGTCATATGTATTTGATGGCGAATGATAGGATGAAGAAGATAATGTGTTAGAAGAAGAGGCGGAGATCGGATTGTGGAGTGCTTTGGTTTGGTTGATTGGTATGACACTCACAATTGCATTACTATCAGAGTATGTGGTTGGCACCATTGAGGTAACATATATATAGCGCCGACTATTGTATTCTTTGTATTTATTTCTTTCCACAATAATTCACAAGTTTTCATCTTTGAGAAAGAGTGATTCTTAACTCTCTAAATATACAAATTCTGATATGTAGAAATCACTTGTTCTTGTAAATGATCAGGAAGCTGCGGATACGTGGGGACTATCAGTGAGCTTTATCAGCTTAATTTTGCTGCCCATTGTTGGGAATGCAGCAGAACATGCTGGCTCCATCATCTTTGCTTTCAAAAATAAGCTGGTAATCAATGCAAAGCCCAAATATATAACCGGCATTCGCCATTTAAATAAAAATACGGAGTACTATTATTAGTTATTACACCCTTTATCAATTGGCGTAAAAGGTTAATGAAATATGTATAAATGTGCATATGCAGGATATCGCTTTGGGTGTTGCATTGGGGTCTGCTTCTCAAATTTTGATGTTCGTGGTATGGACTTTCGTTTTTTGCGTGTGTTTTTCCCTTAGCGTTCATTGCCCATTGAACTAAACGACTCATTTCGTCAACGTTTTATTTTTAGCTTCATATAAATCAAAATAACGCATTAAAATATTCTGGTTTCATACTTTTATAGAAGTGTTGGACAGTAAATGCATCAAGGGTCTAATGGAAACAACCTCTCTGTGTTTTTTATTAACAGGGGTAAGGTTGTACAAAGTATAAATTTTGACCCCAATGTACATTTTTTGTTGTTTTTAATCTTCTTCTTCTTCTTCTTGAAGAAGCATCATATATGTACAACATGCATATAATGTATATGTCCAGGTTCCATTGTGTGTGACTGTGGGGTGGATAATAGGGGTGAAAATGGACCTTGATTTTGGCCTTCTCGAAACGGCTTCTCTTGCTTTCTCCATCCTTGTAACCGCATTCACTTTACAGGTCCGGCCTCCGCCACCCACCTCAAACCCCACATTTACATGTATATATGTGATATTTTGATCTATGTTAATTCACCGATCTTTTAATTAATACTACCTCCGTCCCGCTATATTCGTCCACTTTTGACTTTTGGAACTGTTCATCTAAGCACTTTGACTCATCAAATTCTCTCAATGTGTAAGCCTAAATATAGTCATGTGTGATCTTGTTTGATTTGTCTTAACATATAGATTATTAATATATAATTTCTATAATTTTTTAATATACAAATTATAAGATAAAATGGATTAAAGAAGTGCATTGGAAGGTGTGTAAAAATGAAAGTGGACAAATATAGTGGGACGGAGGGAGTAACAAAGTGAGTAATAATATTATTAATAATATATGGTATGCAGGAGGGAACTTCACACTACATGAAAGGACTAATTCTTTGCATGTCCTACCTTGTCATTGCCTCTTGCTTCTTCCTTCACAAACTACTCCCCACATGTAAGTCTTTTAGTAAGCTTACTATTATTGGGTCATGGTTAATCAACCCTCTTTAGCCACTAAAGAGTCTGTTTTTTTTAGCTTATTCTTACTTGGTGTTACTTGTTCTTATTGGGATCAGACCAGATCAGAATAAATCATATCAGACCTTAATAAAATCAGATTAGATTCAGTTAGATCACATGAAGCAGCTCTAACTCAAAATAGATGATTAGAGCTAGCTAGGGAGACTATATATAATCAAACTAACTCCCAAAAACAAAATGTCCATATCTACTCAATTATTTTCTCTATGTAATTATAGATCATCATGATGACCCAAGAAGCGCCGCCACCGGAGTGAAGACTGCCTGATTTCACCGGCGTCGCGCAATACATCTCCATCGCGATCTTGTGTATGTATAGATGTTGTCTTTCTTTTTTTAACTCGTTTCTATTTTTAGGTTTTAGGGTATGTACAAGAGGAAAATATGTAACAACTCGAGTGTTTTTTTATTCGGAGGGTGGTGCATTTTGCATTATATAGAGATGAATAATTGTATTCATTAAATAACCAGTCGTGCTAGGTGTACACCATGTTTTGTACTGGCAAACACTAGCTTTATATGAGTTATTTTTGTACGATGTAATAACTTTTTCTCATTGTCTCTTGATGGTTGAGTTACTCGCTCCATCCCAAATTGTACACGGTTGTAGCGGGAAATGGACCGATGTCATAAAAGGATATTAAAAGAACCGCATCGAAAATAAAAATATTACTCTATATAATTTTTTTTGTCAAGCTAATTCTACTAAAAATATTTTTTTCACGATTTTTCTTTCTGTAAAAGAAAATGAATGAGTGACATAGGTGCACCTCAATCGCTGATGCATGAATCACAAAATTAAAGTGAAAACACTTGGACAACAATCTCTTATAGAGAGCCCACACAGTGAGTGGTGGCATCTCAATCTCTTTTTAACCAACTCAACCCAAATTACGGACGGATAGCTCTTTTTTTGTTAAACCCACGTCCAGCAACCAAGAAGAATCGAACCCGGACCAGACCTGCTTGGATACGATGTTAAAATTTTGCCGAACCGAGAACAACGAGCAAAGTGTCGGATAAAATTAACCACTTGCATATAAAGTCAGAATCCACTATTCTAACCCAAAAGCTTAAGCTAATACGTATGGTTTCACTCTTCTATATATGCAAGTTGTATTCTTCTTTATTTTTTGATGTGGGAACTCCAAGACTCTCCCTCAAGTGCTAAGTAGCATGACTAGTCAGCACTTGGACAAACGAGTCTAGCATCTCAATCATTTATAGCTAGCCCATACAACGGGCAACAACATTTCGATCTATTTTAGCCAACTAAATCCAAACCACGCACGGGCAACTCATTTAAACCCACGTCCAAACAATTACAGAGTAGAAAAAATTGAACCCAGACCGTACCTACTCTGATACGATTTTAAAATTCAGGTGGACCGAAACAACGGGCAGAATAAGCAAAGGTTATTTGCTGTTTGCACTGGGCTTACAAGTTAAGAGTATTTTAAAATTCCTCCTCTCTCTCTCTCCCTCTCCAACTTGTGTAGAGTGAAGTGGATACATGTAGCTACTAGCTAGGGCATGTGATGGCTGATGGGGTTGGTGGAGGGAAAATCAAAAAGTAGTTCGTTTTTTGCCTTTCATTTAATTTTGTGTATAGTATAGTTTACTTCCAAATAATCTGTCTCAATATAAATGAACCCATTCATTGTACATAACACATTACCACTACCAACTCTCCTATACTATACTATATAACTAAAACAAAAATATAAACTACTCCCTATGAATCTTTTGGTGAACTCAAGTTTAGTAGTATATAGTATGAGGGAACCTATGTGAACAAAACTGCATGTAAAAAAATATTGTTGGGATTGAAGGGAGCAAAAGTGAGGCAAACATGTTATGCGTCGTCGTCGTCGTCGTCGTCATCATCTCCGTTGGAAATTGAGGTACTTGACGGATGCAGCAAAGACAGAGAAGAAGACGATGCTGAATCCGACAAGCACTAGGGCAGACCACCCTACCATCCCAGGTCCATACCCTAGGCTGATCCTCAAATACTCTTTCACCGTACCCTCGTACCCGGGACCCGCAACCAACGTTTCCACATCGCCAAGTTGAGACGAGATGATCCCCCTCAGACTCCATGCGACGGGGGAGATATAGTAGAACCATATCCACCACCCTGGAATGCTCTGCGCCAATTCATTGAACAACAAAAAACATATTATATCATAACATATAAGGCGATCGATACAAAATCTTAACCAAACACTCAGAGGGAGAGGGAGAGAGAAGATTAAACAGATGGATGGATTACAGGTTTGGGAACGAGAAAGCCAGAGAGGAGATTCCACAATGAGTAGAATGCAGAGGAGAGAACGGCGGCAGTCTGCTGGTTTGATGTGAGTCCAACAGCCATCATTCCGTAAAAGGTGAAGTAGGTGAATGTTAAGAACATGAACACCAGATACAGGAGAAATTTCTCTGCAACATTCAAACCACGCTTCATCTAATTAGTTAATTGCCTTCTCTTCTGAATTTTCCAAAAAAAAAAAAAGGAGCTCGACAGTTGAAGGAGAACAAGAGTGGTGACAAATCATACCCACTGTCCTTTCGAAGTTGATCATGAAATATGTGATGAAGCCATATAGTACTGTCTGCGCCAGAATGTATGGAATCTCAACAAGGCCCTATCGGCATAGGAAAGAAAATAACATCATTGCAGTTTTTCAAGTTAGAACACATTTTTGCTCATGCTTAACTTATTTATAAAGGAAACTGCCTTCAGAAGTTTGCCCCCAACTCCCCAAGCTTATACTACCCTCGTCACAACAACACAGAACGTGAGGTTGTGATCCCAATTCATGTGAGTGTCGGTGTGAAGAAAAGAGGCAAACTTATGAGTAATTTAGAATTTCTGAAAGAAAAGAATTTTGCACATTTCAAAATTTCAGTTTTAAAAATTAATGTTACCGAATGAAGGTCCTGACCTGAGCTGCTGCATAAGGGAGAGGTGAATACATGCCGGCTGCCCTTTCTCTGTAGAAAACTGTTCTCTCTATGGAAACTATTGGCTGTACAGATGAGGCATTGTTGACACCTAGAAATAAGGCAGTTGAATACAGAGCTCCCATTACCACCATTAAGTTCTGCGTCGAGTCCCTGTGAAAGTTAAATCATCCAAGAGCACTCATTACTGAAATAAAAGAATCCTGCCTAGCCCTAAAAAAGGTCTTTGGAACTGACATTGAAGATGAAGTATCATTCCATCAGAAGGTTACCTTTTGGAACCAACACCCCAAAATACTGAGCCAATGATGAGTGCACTCATTAGAGTAAAAAATATCCTCACTGCATTGTATGCTGGACTTCTCCAGTACACAGTGTTGTGCTTCCAGAGACAGATTCTAAATTGAGAAAATGTATCTTGAGAATAGATGGAGTCGAACTTCAAAGGTCCCGAGTTTTCAGGCGGAATGCTGAACTGTTGAATTGAAGCTTCAACATCCCTACACACACATAACAAATACATCCAAATGAGTGAAAATGCAAAGGTAATATGAATAGAAAACTAGCAGCAGTAAATCAAATATTTCTTGACTGGAGAGAATATCACCTGTACTGCTCAGAATTCCTATATAATACTGCAAAGTCTTGACCTATTCTTTCTTCGGCGGCAGGTGTAGTGATCTCAAGCATCCACGTTGCAGGGTTGTAGCCAGGAGGAATCTGGGGAGTCCCTGGCATACTCTGCAAATTTTTGAACAAGTGACCCGCTTTCATTAAGAACATTCATTTTGAAATTAATCCAAGCTAATCATTGGTCTGTTATGGTTAAAACTCACTATATTCATGTTTGGTTGGTTTGACTGGGCACAAAAATTAAGAAATTGAAAACTAAGGGTTGAAGTTATTTAGAAGAGAGAGAAATAAAGTGACCTGTGCTTTGTTTTTCTTAAGAGGAAACGAGCGATAATTTTGGGGCAAACTAAAAAAGAAAGCGCGAGTTTTATTTAGGGAACGAGGGAGTCAATCGAATGGATTGATCGATCCTTCCTCATCATGGAAACAAATGCTATAAATGAATAAGATTAATGGAAACAAGAGCATGCCTGAAAGTAGTTTATCATTGTTTGTGACTGCTGTCCAAGCTTTCCTCCATATATCATCTGCCCACCTCGTTTCATAAGAAGTAGCTACAAATTGAAACATTTAGTAAGCAGGCACTACTCATAAGTCCGTTTGAAATGCAGAAAACACTAGAGAAGAAAAATAGAGAGGAAACACAGGGGAATGACAAATTGCCTCAAGCTTAGTAACTATTTTTAAATATTTGTTCATACTCATTTTATTTAATTATATATTTCTAATACAAACATATTAGGAAATCTGAATTTGTGTGAGCTTGCAACAGGTTTAATTAAAGTCAGTTTTCCTTCATATTTTCAAAGGTAAAACCAAATAATAAGAGACTATTTTCCAATGCATTTTTCCCTTTCCCTACCATTTACCGATTTCACCAAAAATAGCCTTAGACTTAAAGGCAACTGACCTCATCGAATGCTTCAAAAATCTCAATACTTGGTTGATGGATGGTGCACACAACAGTTCTTCCAGTGTCAACAGTATTACGAACAGTTCGCATGACAATGGCTGCTGCACGAGCATCGAGTCCAGATGTAGGTTCATCCATAAAAATGATGGATGGGTTTGCCACAAGTTCCACTGCAATTGTTAAACGTTTTCTTTGTTCTGTAGATAATCCACTACTACCTGGCAAGCCTACTATAGCATTCCTCAACGTATCAAGCTCGACTAATTCCATTACTTCTTCAACAAACTCCTGAAGGGAAAGAAATATGGGTTTGGGCGTGAATGTGTGATGTTAGAATCTCTGAGTAATTTGTTCACTAAAGGTACACGAGAGTGGCAATGCCAAACCTGTCTCTGTTTGTGGTTCACTTCCTTGGGCAGCCTTAGATAAGAAGAAAACCAGAGGGATTCAAAAACTGTAACTTGAGGAGAATGTATATCATTTTGTTCGACATATCCTGAAACTCTTGCAAAAGTGCGCTGTTCTTTTGGGTGACCCGATATCCTGATGTCACCTTCTATATATCCACCAGTCTTCCTACCAGCTAGAACATCCATCAGAGTGGTTTTCCCTGCTCCACTTGCCCCGACTAATGCTGTAAGAATGCCAGGTGAGAAAACTCCACTAACATTGGACAGTAGTTGCAACCTCTTTTGTGTTACACCTTGTGAAGCCATTTCCTACAAAAGGAAAATTTTTATATTATATTATGTTCCCATGTAATAGAATTCAAAATCCAGATGGAGCAATAGTTGGCACAAGGATACCTTTGGCATGTCAACAAAGTAGTTGACCTTATAGAAAGTCATTGTTAACGGTTGAAATGGGAGAATCATCCCTTTTCTTTTACTTGCACTTTTTCTGATGATAGAATTTGCATTGTTTTTCTTTCCTGCCAAATAAATTAAGATACATACAAAATCATTTAAAAAAGCCACTTGACTGGTGACTAATTGACCATTAAAGTTGATGATCTCATTTACCATCAATAGCTGAACTTTCTTCTAAGAGTGCCTGAGATGTCCTGAGGGCTGCACGGGCAGAAAGAAGTCATACATGAATAATAGATATGGGTAAGCAGTGATTGAGAAACAGATACTCAAATGACGCACAAAATGTCTCAGCCTACTTACGATTGAGGAATGTCAATGCTAGAGTCACTAAAATGTTGAAAAACAAGGCATAGAGCAATAAAACACCAACTCCCAGCCAATACCAATAGCCACCTGCAGGTAAGCTGTGTGATTGCAAAAGGCTGTTTCCAAGAGTAATATTTCCTATAGTCCTCTGCAAAAGTATCCATAATTAAAACGAAACTTAAAACTATTTATCAATCCATATAACGAATTGTAATGCATGTGTTTTCATGGAAGAGAGAACAGACCTCATTCCATCTTGTTGCAGTGAATTCATTAATAGATATTGCTCTTTGCCCATACGATAGTGGTGATACCCAAAAGGCCCAGATCCACCATTGCTTTATCATATCTGTAGAGAAAAGGAAAAAATACCAGAGATGAAAGTATTATTTTTGTTCAAATATTTCCACAGCAGTAGTAAGAATATGATAAATGAACAACTGATACTTGCCTCTAGGGATTATAAAACCTCCCAATAAGAATACAACTAGCAAGGCAGCCGACCCAAATGTACTAGCAATGACCATATCCCGTGCAAGAGCTGCCATTGAGCGAAAGAGGCCTAATGCCATTTGATGTATGGAAAACAGGACAAACATATAGCGGAAAAACCTGATAATTTAACAAGGAATGCAGATGAAACATCGCCCCTAAAAAACATCAAGATCGACACAATGAAGGGTAACAGCTATACCTTCCCGCGCCAGGAGCAAATCCGACAGTATAGTATACAACACAAGACCATATAACTGCTTCAATTACTGAGTAAGGTATGCGAGTAACCCAACAAGAGATAGACCATGCCCACGCAGGATAAAACAGATTATCTCTTTGTTTGTAGAACACAGGTAGGCGGGAAATAGTAATAGGCATTTCTGAAAATCCATTGAACATCATATGGACCAGTCCAAAAAATAAGCAAGAAAGGTAAAGGTTTGCATTGACCAGATCAGTGGGATGTAACCGGGTTCTTAGAAACATAGTACATGTCACGAGTCCCACAAATGCAACCTGTAACATAGTAGAAACCTATGAGACTCAAAACTCAATGAATAGTGATGTCAAAGCTACAAAAAATATTTGAATGCAGCTTTATAAATGGCAAGCACACCTGGAAAGTTCTGAAAATATAAAGAAATCGGTGCCTTCTGATGAGAAGCAGTTCCCTGGAAAAACATGCTTTGAAGAGCTCCCAGTTGGACACTGCAAACTTTTTAGTGCACAGAGCTGAATGATGGTCATCAGTTCTTACATAAGGAACTGAAAGAGAGGACTCCAGGGCCTGACCATATCTGGAATTTCTAAATTCTTCAGCAATTTTTGAAACTGGCATAAACACATAGGGTTGTGAATGATCAGCCCAGTATTGTGCCTGATCCTTCCTTGAAGTGACCTGCAAACAAGAAGACCTTGAAGAGTTGAAGATTATTATTGTTATTATTATTATTTAATTGAATAAAGAAATAGAAGATTGATTACCTCCTGAAGAAAATCTGCGATCCCCTTACGAGGTGGTAGTTTAAAACCTAATGACTCGAAGAACTCAACAACACTATCTCGTGGACCATGATAGACTACATATCCTTCTGACAGCAAAACCAGATCATCAAACATATCAAAAGTCTCTGGGGCAGGCTGAAGAAGGGCCATTAGGACTGTTCCATCCATTAGATGTACAAAATTCCTAATGCACTTCACAATTTGGTATGTAGTGGAGCTATCAAGTCCAGTAGATATCTCATCCATAAACAGAGTCTTTCTAGGCCCAACAATCATCTCTCCTGCAATGACAAGTTCAAAACATGGAATAACCTTCCAATGTTACACTAAAAACAAGTATCATTTCTTGTTGATTTCAAAAGTCCGAAATATTGTCTCAAGGATTTTGCTCCAGGTCAAGATTTTTCTGCTGAATTCGTAAGGATTTACATTTACATAAACTCATAAATCACAATTAATCTAATCTGTATATTCACTAGGAAAAACAAGTGTTTTTTTGAAGTGAACGACACCAGTATGAACTACTGGTAAGTGTGACTATCCCTCTGCACGTTCTTTTTTATATAAAAGAGTATCAGATTGCAGCTAACATGATTATCCTTGTAGAATGAGAATATAATATATGGAATATTTAATTTTGTGCAGTCAAACTTGTGGGAAGAAGAATAATAATTTATCACAGAGGGAATTGAAATAGAGAGAATGCACAGGAAAGCAGAAAACCTGTTGTAACTCTCTTTCGTTGTCCACCTGAGACACCCCTAAGCATATCATTACCAACTATGGTGTCTGAACATATATCAAGACCAAGGACTTTCAAAACATAGTCTGTACACACACTGTGTTTTCTACTGCTAACGGATGATGCCTGTATTAATTTCTTGGTGTTAGAAAAAGCTTGATGAATAAGGAAATTATTAATAAATTACCAAGTTAAATATCGAATGTAAAACCTTCATGAATGCATCAATCTGAGGATTGGGGTGTATCTTTCTTTCCCTCTCTAGATGTGTAAGATCTTTCATATATTCTGCATGATAAAATCAAAATGGTATCAAGAATGACTTGCAAATTTTCCGTAACATCCATAGCTACTGGTCAAGAAAAATTTACAACAATTTACTGTGACCACAAAGCTTTAAGCTAATTAAACAATCAGATAACAAATTGATTCAATTTGATTGATTACGTTCTAACCCTTGATTAAATATAAAACTTTATTCCAGAAAATCCACTGCCATATATGATATAACCCATGCTGAACAATTTTCTGCTACCAGATATGATTAATCAGAAATGTAGTATAGAATCTGGAGCAGCTGGTAGATAAAGAAAATCAGCAGATGTATACAGAGTACTTTCAAATTCTGTATACAGAGTACTTGCAAATTCTGTTTCTTCTGATTTTGCACAAAACTATTTTAAACTATCAATTGCAGATGGCGTGAGAACTTTCAAATGCAGAGTCCCTAAATCGTTATATTTCCATCGCTTGGTGAAAAAAAGAAATGAATGGAAAAGTTGATACGAACCTCCGAAACCCTGGTCTGCACCCTGGAATCTGGCGGCATAATCGAAAGTTTCTCGTACAGTTAGCTCAGCAATGTGGTTATCGGTCTGGCTTATGTAAGCAGAGGTTCTTTGCACACAGAAGTTATCAAGCCCCTGGCCGTTGTACGTAATAGTTCCGCTTTTCTGAAACAAGAACGATGTTCTCAAAAGTTAATTCTCAGTGATACTCCTCCGAAGGAATTACAGCATACTCCGTATGTTTTTGTTAGAGCTGTTTTTGTTACAGCAGTTAGTTCTTAAAAGTGATACTCTAACATTTATTTTACACTAATGTTCTACGGAGTATATAATACATTTTTCTAATATTTTATTATTTTAAGTTATTTATTTATAATAAATACATTTAATTATTGGTTTAATTATAATCACATTTTTATGTGCATAATCTAGCCAATCTATTAATAATATTTTTAGTACTCCGTATTACTTAAAACTAAATATTGAAATAATCGTTTTAGCATTTGGTTTGCACCATCTTGTATATATACAAGTTGGGAATTGCTTTTTCCACTGTAGTATTTTTTAACCTTTGATTTACACTATCCATTGTATTATTAAAAAATGAATAGTATATTGCATATAATGTGAATTTTACATATACACTATGAGTTAAAAAGGCTCTTAGATGGGATGGGAGTATGAGATGTATGGCGAAGAAAAAAGAGTGTATACAGAGTATATGCTATAAACCCATCACATTACTAAAGGACTCCCTCCGTCTCAAATTATTTTTCAAACTCTCATTTATAAAATATAATTGAATTTATTTTTTAATTAAATAACTCAATTATAATGTAATTTTTTAATATATAAATTTTACATACGGAGTATATAATTGAGTTAATTAAATTATGGTTAATGCTAAAAATAATATATAGTACGGAGTTTCAGTTTTTTAAGCTTTGTTTAACGTTAAAGGTTACCATTAAATATCATTTTTGAAACGCTAACATACGTGAACTCTAGCAGTTCTCAAATGAGGCCTTAATGTCAAATTTGTAGGGTTTCTAAAACTTCTATAAACTAAATTAAATGAAAACTCACACTCACCCTACATTCCGAATTTAATTGTGACATGAATTTAAAATATTAGATATTACGACATTGATATAAAAAAGTAAATTTGTTGGGATAATCTCTATTCATCAAATATTAATTAAGTTGGAGTGTATTTTATTTTTGGAGTGTAACACAAAAAATTAAAAAATAAAATATAAAATGATAATGTGACAAATGTATGTGTGTGGAGATGTGTGAAAGTAGAAAAGGACAAAAGAGTAAGAGAGAGCAAAAGAAAGAAGAGAGAGGGAAAAAGAAAGCGAAAATTGGCTATAAAAAAGAGTTTTACTCCCTTTGTTTGTGCGCCCTATTTGAGGAAGGGGAAAAAGAGGGTGGCCAAAAGGTTAGAAGGGAAAACGGAGTTTTACTCCTTTGCCCCATTTGACAATGGAGAGAGTCAGAGAGAAGGGAGATCAGTGTCCAAATTAAGTTAGAAGTTTTAATGTAGACAAAGTTTTCACTATAGGAGAATATAAATTGTTGAAATGAGTGGGTCTAGGGGAAATATCAAATTGGGTCGTGAGTTGAAGGTAGTTGAGATTTAATCGGTTAGATTTAAGAAAAGTAAGATAATTGTATTTATTTGCTCCAAATTAAAACATTTTATGGGGCAAATGAGATGCAAAAATTAAAAATTTTTACAAAGGAAATATGAAAAAACAAACCTTTAAGCCATTTTCAAGTTTTCCAGCTAGGGCACGAAGTAATGTTGTTTTCCCTGAACCCGGAGGTCCTAAAAGCAATGTCATCCTGATATAATAATTGAACAATCACAAAGAAGATTTCAAATTACGAGTTCATAAACTAGATGGAGCAATTAAATTTACAGACTAATTGATATCATATCCTTTTCATTCTTTTTTGCTAACATTATTGACCCTAGGCATATAACTATATAAGTGACTTTTCACACACTCAGTATTATGGTTTTAAGTTAAACATTAAAAAATATTAAAAGTTTATAAAACTAGTCTCTTTTATTCAAAGTTTCAAGCATACGACTATACGAGTAGTTTTTTTTTGCTAGACAAATACTCCGTACTAATCCATACAAAGTCTAGAACGTAACTTTTTTATGTTAGATAATACACATAAAAAATTCATGTTGATTTTTGTAGGTTGATATTAACTTCCTGAATCTAAGACATAATCTCATTTGATTTTTCAAATTTTTTAAATTTAAACAAAATATAGTTTGACTATTTTAATTAAATAAACAAAAGATAGTTTGACTACTTTAACTCATTACTCTAAAGTTCTGTAAATTGAGAATGAAGAGTATAAATATATTTTATTCCCTCTGTCCCTTAAAGTCTTTCTCTCTTCTTTTTTTCTTGTCCCACAAATTTTTTCCATTTTATTTTAAAAAAGCATTTTTACACCTACTAATTTTATCATATTTATCACACCATATTTTTTTACTAATAATCTATCTATCATATCTTACTTTTACCTATCACATCAAATATATTTTTTTAAAAAGTCAATGCAAAAATATCATTTCTTTAAATTCTCAAAAAATCAATAAGAGAAGAATTTAATGGACTGAGAGAGTATGCGATAAAGAAGCAAGGAGAAAAAAAAGTGAACATCTAGCTACCTTACCTTCCAGGTCTAATGACACCACTTATGTTGTTCAAGATGGTTAATTTGTGTCTCTTCGGTCGAAAGACTCTTAATCCTGTTAATATACTCTATATAAGGAGTGTATATATTTGATGGAAACAACAAACAAGGCATCATAATCAGCACATTTTAGCTCAATGATCCCAAATAAACATAATAAAGCCTGTTAATTGTACTATCACACGAGTGTGTATGCAAACTTACCTCGATTGTATCGCGAACAAAGTTGATCAAAGTTGGCAAAGCTCTTGAACCAATCTGTACATCTGCTTTAATTGTTAAATCTCGATAGCGAACCTCGACTTTTGGCAACTCTAATCCAACTCTGTTTTTTGAAAGCAGTTCAAAAGAGTATACGAATCAGTATTTCATTAGTTGTCAATTAATTAATTGCTTGAATGAATATAATGAACAGAAAACACACTAATCCAATAATGTGAAAAGGTTCAATTGAATCTCAGGAGTCAATCATGCCACTGGCTCGATTGTTTTCATCTTCGCATATTAAAAACACTGTATTTCCACACATTCCCATGGATCAAAATCGCGATGAGTTCCAATTCCAGTAGCCATACAATGTTATTAAGCACAGATCATATAAAACTAATGAAATTAAATCAACCTACCGGTCGAGGCGATCTTTAATGGCGGCGAGGAGCCTGTAATTGTCCTGTTCCGTAGTCGCCAACGCCTGCTTGACCACCAGCTCTCGCGTGGCGCGATTGAGCCTCCGCACATCGACGGCCTCCGTAATCGCCCCGCCGACGGCCGCAGCTTTTGTCTGAGACGCCGCATCGCGCTTCACCAGAGCGAAATTCCGGCGTTTTTGAGACGGCAGCCTCTCCAGCGCCGCCCACATCAGCTCATCCTCGTCCAGCTCCACGCACTCGGCGTTCGACCGTCTCGGGAAGTGATTGCGATCCGCCTGCGCCTCCACATCCACGGCGAAATACTCATCAATCCCGCTCGAAGCCGCCATGATCGGTCACTAGAGCTTTCAATTTTCTGTCTGATTTGATTATGAGGGTTTTTAATCTCAAGCGGGGGTATATATAAATCTGTAACAGATTGTGTTTAGCTGGGACTGGAATTCCTTCTCTCTCTCTCTACACGACGCATCGGTTCCGAAAAAAGCGCTGTTTAAAAAAACGAAAATATCGGGCTCGGCGATATGGCCGCGAAGTTTTGAAAGCGTGAAATGGCAATGAAACCCCTGGGGAGCAGGGGAAGTGGGATAGATATGGGATGGATGGTGGGGGCAAATGTGGACATTCGATCGACGTTTGTTTTGCCCTGTTCTTATGGGAGGATTTTCCGTTAACACGCACGTGTGGGATGTATTTAAGATTTTAAACCCCAAAACAGCTCAATAATCATTTTTAGGAACGTTTTTTCCTTTTTTTTTACTTTAATTAGAGTTAAACACGTGTGCTAATTTATACACATAATTTTGTACCCAAAAAATACGGTGTTTCTAGAACCATTAGTTGAGTGCATATAATAAATTCATAAATAGGTATTAAATTGAATAAATATTTATTACCGGGCAGAACATGCATTATATTTGTAAAAATAATTATGTACTCCGTAGCTATTAAAAGTATTCATTATATTTTTGTTGGAATTTAATGAGGGTTTATTGTGCATGTATTTAAGTCCATATTTTAAAGTCATGGATTTATATTTACATTTTACATATAAGACATATTTTCATTTTTAAAATATAGGTTTGTATTGTGATAATGTATCACTGACATTCTAATGTTTTTTGTACTATATGTTAAGATTATTGACAGTGTAATTCCTAGTTTTGAGATAAAATTATAAAGTTTGTATTTATTTATTTTGATATTTTTCCTATATTTATTTTTAATTAAGTCATTTTCCCTTTATAAATGTCAAAATACTAACAGTATCCGACTACCGCCACAAAAAGAGTTAACGGTTGAACAAACGGTCGAACGATAGAAAAAAATTATAGTTATTATGTAGAGCAAGTTCGAAAATCTAAGATCTATGGAGGGGATGCAATGACAATATAAGTATTTTTTAACAAAATTCAAGATAAAAGTGACATGGAGTAGTTTTTATACAATATTGTTTGTTCATTACATGCACTACATAGTCAAGAAGCAAAGTTAAGGACTCGTTTGGTATATGGAATTGATGGAATTGAAATTGAAATTACATAGAATTCAATTCCATAGAATTGAATTCAGCAAAATCAATTTATTTTTTGTACTATTAATTCCAAATCCACATAATTTTTGTACTACCAAACGCTAGAATTGAAATTGAACTTCTCAACTCAAATTCCATCATTTGAATTCTGTGTACCAAACAGGGCCTAAGTTTTTTGGGATATCTAAACATACAATACAGAGTATGCAAAAAAACATTTTAACCATGTTAAGAATTTTAACCATGTTAAGAGTAATGCACAAAGTCTAAGGGCAATCCAAATGCCACACGGATCAAATGCAACATAGCAACAAAATGCATGCACAATATCGCTAAGGGCGGTGTTTAAGAGAAATCTCTTTATCAAATTCTAAACGTACACACGAGCTGTAAATTAGTTGCGAAAGTCTTCGATATGATCATATTGGCATTCTAGAACAAGCAACAACCTAACCAACAAGTATTTCGCAAATGCAAATACCATGACACCACACACACCCGTTCTACACGAATAAAACCAAAAGGGAAAAAAATATTCATGTATTAGATGTCACAAAATCACTTGAGACAACACCTAAAATGTAAATCTTGCCCAATTTTTTGTTGGGAGACTTCTCTTGGGACCTCTACCTTCCACTCATCGCATGATTTTTGATCTTCTATACATTTCATCGTCCATAATAGGGTAGATAGCTTTTGAACAAATTGAGCAACAATGGAAATGGGTCTTGCAGATGCCATTGAATCATAACTCTGAGCTCTTTTTCTAGCATATCAGTCTCCAATAGGACCCAATGCTTTAATGCAACATTAACTGAAAAACATAGCTAGTAATAGACATAAAAGCATTATCATTTCATAAAATTAATTATACATGCATTCAATCTATAAGGGGTTTACCTTCTCCAACTCTTTACAGTCTAATTTTTTAAGAATTTGTCATTGGGCTATGATTTTACATTAATTAGATTATCTAGAACATGGTACTATGGCAAAAGAGGCAAAATAAAAAATCGACAAACACAAAAAACGTTCTCAACACATAACATAAAACCACATTAAGAATATTCAAATAATATTACCACAAACATTGGTCCAAACATCGCCACCTTATGATGAAATACCTCATCAACCCTTACCACCAAAGCCTCAATCATGGCCTAAATGTGTTGCATGTAGAGTAGGAAGTTAGTGTAATATCAAATAAAACAAAAAAAAGTATTGAATTAAACAAAAGTAGAAAAATGTACTCTAACAACTTCCTACACTAGGGATTGTCCTTCATCCAAAATAACTTGTTGATCTTCTTCTTTCACTTCTTCCTCTTCTTGGTTAGTGATCCCTCTCTCACGTCTTCCTCTTTAATTTCCTCTTCTTTTCCATTCCTACATCCTCTTTCCTCTTCATTTTCTTTCTTCTTGCCCATTTCTTTGAACTTGCACATTTTCCTTCTAGAGAGAGATCTTCTTCATCTTTATGGCTGTACTTAGGGGTGTAAACGAACCGAATCGAAGCGAATACCGATATATTTGAATTTGTATTTGTTTAATTTTTTCGAATCTGAATCCGAATCTGAATATGAGACGAATTCAAAATAAGATTTGAATAAGTATTTGATTAATATTCGAATAGTTATCGAATCATAAACGAATATTTGAATAATCATACTATGTAATTTATATGATGGACCAACATCAATTTGTAATTTAACTTACGATACTCTTTATACTATACTATATTCCGTATATAAAAACATTAATACATCTACATCTTACACAAATTATATTTTATAAAACATAACTATTAAAAATCATATGCTTTAGATTTTTGTGTTACATTAATTTATTGAATTCTTAGTATTTTAAATACACTTTATACTATATTATTTTGTTTGACTTTTGATGTTAAAAACATGGTCTGTGTATATATACATATATTCGAATATTCGAATATCATCCGAATCGAATATATCCCGATTTGTATTTGTATTTGATTAATATTCGAATCAAAAATAATATTTGAATTTGAATTTGAATTTGAATAACGCGAATTCGAATCATTATATTCGAATACAAATCGCAAATCGAATTTAAAATATTTGATTTGTTTACATCTCTAGGCATGTACTCCTCCATTGATTTCACATCTCTCTCATCATCGTTATTTTCATCTACAATTCTATGCACTAAAAGCAAGTTTGATCGAACATATTATAAGTCACTCAAATAATCATTAATTTTATGCAACTTTTTTTATGTGATTTAGTTAAATTATATGTAACTTTTAATTAATTTTTTAGTCATTTATGTAAGATAACTTTTGTTTATGTTGTTATTAATGAAATCTTTTTTTATTAGTGTAATTTTTAACAATTTAATGCACTTTTTTATTTAACGGTTTGAATTTTTAATTAACGAAATCTTAATTATTTCCTTTTGCAAAATATGCATTAAAAAATAAAAAAATAAAACTTTAAAACTTTGGGCTTCAAATTTATTTCCTACGAAACCGTGAGGTAAGTTTGTGGGAGTTAAATTGATATGTGTCGAAGTCTTTGACCTTTTTTCCTTCTCTTTTGATTTCTTTTTCGTCTATGACTTTGTTTAAGAACAGCGTTTTCGATTAACATTAGCGTTTTGGATAAAATTTCAAAGGTATAGATTAATTTAAAATAAGAGTGCCATGAATCTATGATTTTACCTCTGAATCAAACTTCATTTCTTCTGCCTTATCTGTCCCAATTCGGTATCAATCGCCACCTACGCTCATCTTGCAGAGAAGAAGGGGTGGAAGAGAGCTCAGATCTGTCCTATTCAGAGGTAAGTGTCTTCCTTCTTAATACCAAAGTGTTAGAGTACAAACAAATAAAATTAAAGAGTACAAATTAGAACAAATTGGAGAAAGCTAAATAAAATTACAAATTAGAACAAAATTAATCAAAGAATTAGAGTACTCCTTATTATGTAAACTTTTGACAACATAAAGGTAAATACTCCGTAATAAAACAAGAAGCAAAACTTGTAATTAATTTAGAGTTTCAAATGTCAAGAATTTAGGTTTACATCTGATTGATTATGCCCAAATGAAGTTAGAGTTTAGGGTATACTTCTTATTGAGTACTCCGTATTTATTTACTTCTGGTTTACTTTAATTGATTAAACTGAATTTTCTGGTTTGTTTTTAATTGATTAAGCAAAATTGAAGTTGAATTTTGTGGTTTATTTCTGATTAATTAACCTGAAAATTTCAAAATTTAGGGCCTACAAATCTCGAGAGCTCAAGTGAATTGCAATATATATAATTGGAGTCACTACAATATTCTTAAATCCCAAGTAAAATGTATAGTCATTGTTCTTTTGAACTCTTGTTCTTCGCTCAGTCGCTCTGTTTTTTGGAATAAGAATAATTTATTCGTAGAGGGAATAGAAGCACTCTTTTGCTCTTCTCTGAGCTATTCGATTTGCATAAAAGATGTTGTCAAACCACTTTCCGGAAAAGGTTATGTGCACAAAATTTGATATTGGTCGCTTTTCAAAGTAACTCCATTGGACATGCTTTGATTGACAATAAAAAAAGCTTTATTGCATATTAAACAAGAATGATTTGAATAGATTTATCATTATGTTTCATACTCTGATTTGAATCCAATTTGATATGGTTCTGGAAAATTCAAAGGGGTTGAAATCAAGCCAGAGTGATCTGACGGAGGGATAGTGGAGCTGCAGATAGAACCCCAAAGACTCCGAGATATGGCAGACAAATTGGCCCCTGAGAAACGTCACAGCTTCATCCATAAAGGCTCTCTCTCTCTCTCTCTCTCTCTCTCTCTTAGTGCATATGCATAATTTTTGTGTAGATGATTGGTTGTTAATTTGATTGTTAGGGGTTTTTGTTTGATTAACAGATCAGAAGGTCTTTGAATGGGACCAAACACTTGAAGAGTTGAACATTTACATCACTCTCCCCGAGAGTGTTCCTAAAAAGTTATTCTATTGCAAAATAGAGTCCAAACATTTGGAAGTTGGAATTAAAGGCAACCCTCCTTACCTTAATGTCAGTACTGTGTCAATTCCCTTTTTCTTGTTCTCCGTTGGATAGAGATTTAAATTCTTGAGTACTCACATTGTTCACTATTTTTACATGATATGTATGGAGTTCACAGCATGATCTTACTCATCATGTGAAGACAGATTGTTCCTTCTGGACATTAGGTATGTTTTAAGTGTTCAATTTTTTAGGAGAAATAGTTTTTTTTGTCTATTTTCATTTTTAAATTGGGAAGGCCTCTGCAGAATAATGTTTTATTTTTTGTTGTTTAAACCGTAGTCCGTAGAAGGTTTTGTCCATCACCATCTTCTTGAAGAGTGTGCTAGTCAACAACAACCCAGTAGGGTCTGGGGAGGGGGGAGTGTGCGTGTACGTAGGCCTTACCCCTATTCTAAACTAGAGAAGTTGTTTCCAAGAGACCCCCGACTCAAGGAACACAGCTGGCACACAAAGCACGCACACAAAACACAAAGAGCAAACTCTTAGAGTAATTAGTCATCATCATTATAAGTACTCTTATCCAAATCGAAATCGGGGTGCTACTTAATTGTTATAAAACTATTTAACACTAGAAATTCGTGCAAAAAACAGTGTCAACATCTACTCTGGATGCCCTTTTTGTTGCAACCTTCATACGAAGAAACATTGCAATGAAACTTCTAAAACCATTAATATAATGCTCCCTGCGTCCCTAAATAGATTGTATGGAGGGAAGTACGAGGCAAAACCCGACAAGATTATTTTATTTTATCCAATGATCAGTGAAAGCACACAAGTAAACAAAAGTTATCATGAGGCTAGAATGGGGAAATGTGCAATCCAGTTAAGGACGTAAGGAGTATTCTATTTCACGTGCACAGAGAATATCACGAGGTGGTAATGAGTTGATAAAAGCAGAACGATTTGTATGACAACTATATATATAGATCCAACACGGTTAGTAAAAAATGTAAAATTGTGCAATTGAGATTTATGTTGAGAGAAAAATAATATGAACCACACAATTTTTACCTTAAAAAATTGGAACCCTTTTGTAGAACACAGGACTAAGGAAATGTGAAACATTTTTGCGGTGCAAAGGGAGTATGAAGAAGCATGTGCTTTGCTACGAGAAAGCTCACACTTTTAGCTGATAAAGGCCATCTTTTTGTATTTTACTGAAAGTCATTTTTGAATGGTAATTGTTTGCAACTTTACATAGGAGGTGAAAATGTTAGGGTAGTTATTGGTTAGAATGATGAACTGGGATTAGAAAATTTATGCTTTAGATGTATTTTCTGTATGATGTCCTACAGAGGATGATATAATGCATGTAACCCTTCAGAAGAGAGATAAAGGACAGACATGGCCTTCTCCTATCATGGGCGAAGGTCAGTTGGATCCTTATGCGACAGATCTTGAACAGAAGCGCCTCATGCTCCAAAGGTTCCAAGAAGAGGTACATGTCTGCTCTTTTATTTTTCGTAGTTCCTCTTCGCGCCCGGTGACAAGATGTGGTCTTTTTCTTCTTTTTTTTTTGTAGAATCCTGGCTTTGACTTTTCACAAGCACAATTCAGTGGCAATTGCCCTGACCCCAAGAGCTTCATGGGTGGGATTCGGTCTACTTGATCTTGGGTATATTACTTGATGCAATTTCACTACAATCAAATACTATCCAACCTGTGTTTTCTTTTATCTTTTTCCCCCTTTCCGTATAAGCGTTATTGGCAAAATGGTCACTTTTTGTCTGTCCACCTTAACATGACTGTGTCTTATGGTTGGTAATGTAAGCAAATTGTTGGCATTATGACTATGAAATGTGAAGTTTGAACACAATGAATATGGGAGCTCTTCCACATGTATTTGTATTGTAATGTGCATGAGAATTTCTGCTCATTTAAATCGTGTAGAAATCCAGGTTTGCAGTATTTGTTTGAATAGCTTTGATGGCTTGTTAGAATAATGAGGAGTGCTAGGGGGACCTCAAGATTTTGACACCAAATGCGAACCAAGGCCAATACAGACACACCTTGATATTTAATGTCTGTGTCCATGCATTAAATGTCCAGGTGTGTCTCTATTGACCTTAGTGTGTATTGACCTTAGTGTGCATTTGGTGTCAAAATCTTGGAGTCCCCCTAGCATTTTTGTTAGAATGATACATTTGCTACGGAGGATTATGAACACTCTAATCTCAGGAAAAATTAGGCCCCGTTTGGTATATGGAATTCAAACTATGGAATTGGAATTGAGGACTTCAATTCCAGTTCTGGTGTTTGGTAGCACAAAAATTATGTGGATTTGGAATTGATAGTGCAAAAAATGAATTGGAATTTGCAGAATTCAATTCTATGGAATTAAATCTCGTGGAATTTCAATTCCAATTCCGTCAATTCCATATACCAAACGTACCCTTAGTGACCTTTTGGGTGGTACTTTACCAATAGGAAAACGTACTGAACTAGGAAGAACATAATAAGAAAGGGGGGGGGGGGAGTATTACTTAAGAAGTGTGAGATTTCATTCGAAAATCTTTTGGCAATGGAAAATGCTTGGTTCACAAACTCAAACTTCACAAACTTCACAAACTTACCATTTGTGAACTTTAATAAAGAAAATTAAATAGTCTAAAATAATTTTAAAATGAGAATTTAAACCATAAATAGTAAGTTTGTGAAGTTTGTGATCATTCTGTTTGTGAACGTAGCATTGCAATAGGACTAGTGTACTTTTGTATACTCTATATTAGGCTTTTTTGAACATGAGTTTTCAAAAAAGAACCAAAACGATTACAATGCCCAAGTAGTAGTCCTCAAATTCAATAGCAAAGTGTGTTTATAGTGAAATTAGAATGAATCTTGAAAAGAGCCTAAATGATCACAATCTCGTCCCTTGTCAAGTCGACTCCTGCCGCATTTGTTAAAGGACAAGTCAGTAAAATATAATCAACTCTCTCTCTTATATTGTCGCCTATCCAAAAATATTAAAACATAAATGCAAAAAAAAGTTTGGAACGATGGAGAGTATAAGAGTATTACGTAGTAAATTATTTTTGTATGAATTAGGAGAGAAAATATATCATAAACCTAAAATCTATAATGCTATATGACATTTTTACACAACTTTTTATTAAAAAGCTTTTAAAATGTTTATGTTAATACACTGTACCTATCTAACATCTATAAAGTTCTATCATAAACTTTTTTTGTGAAGTTCTATCCTAAACTTTAAGTCCATGCATGATTACAAGAATTTACTCGATTCAAATTGACGAATAATCATACACCAAACATTTGGTGTAAGTTTATTACGTCAATTCAATGAAAAATTCTACGGTTCTTCAATTGTAAATATAAATCTTCATGAACTTCTCAGTCGTTGCACCCGCTATAATTGCACAATGGGTCATGCTAGGGGTACACCAAATGTGGTACCCCATTTGTACACCACCCCTTCAATAACCACTCATTTATTTTTGATTTTTATTTACTTCTTTTTTTTTAATTTTCTTACTTAATTTCTGCGTTTCTCAATTTCCTAACAGTCAAAATTTTTCCGTTCTACCCATCTACCATTCCCACTTACCCAAGTCCCCTGAATGCGCGTGAACTGGGAATCTCCCCCCGCCGGCCGGCCACCCATTTGCAGAAGCATCAGATTCGTCTTCTGCTCTTCAAGATTTTCTGTTGTGTGTTCAAATTTGTTTTTTAAATAAAACAAGAAAGAAGAAAATGCATGCTTTAGCTATGCCGCGCGTCGATTGATCTCTGTCTACACCGAATGAATAAATACTCTGTTTTTTTTGTCTTGGTTATCTCTCTCTGATTTCCACCTTCATAGCTCAAACATGGCCGGAGAAATAGGGGACGACCCGTCTTCGCCCACCCGCCTCCGTTCTTGCCTTGTCGTCGGGAATTACTGTCACGATGTTCTGATCAAAGACGGCAGCGTCATTGCAGAGTCCATCGGCGGCGCCACCTCTTTCATCTCCGCCGTGCTCGACGGATTCGACGTCGCGTCCCGCTACGTGTCCAAGGTGGGTCCCGATTTCGCCTACTCCGTCCCCCGCCGGCCCGTCGTCTGCGCCTCTTCGCGAACCACCGTCTTCCACGCCTATTTCTCGTCTGAGATCAAGCGCCAGGATCGGGTTCTTAAGCGGGTCAGGGCATGCGAGCCGATCTGGGCCTCGGATCTCCCCGAGTCCAGATTCGATTTCGGGCTGGCCGTCGGAGTCGGCGGGGAGATCCTACCGGAAACCCTCGAGCGGATGATCCAGATCTGCGGGACGGTCCTGGTCGACATCCAAGCGCTGATCCGGGTCTTCGACCCGGCGGACGGAACAGTGAACCACCTCGACCTGAACCGGACCGGGTTCTCCCACCTGCTCCCGAGAATAGGGTTTCTGAAAGCCTCGTCGGACGAGGCGCCATTCTTGGACTTGGAGGAGGCGAGGAAGCGGTGCTGCGTGGTGGTGACCAACGGCAGCGACGGCTGCACGGTCTTCACGGAGGATTCCGAGACAAAGATCGCTGCGTTTCCAACAATTCAAGTCGACCCGACTGGAGCTGGGGACAGCTTTCTGGGCGGGTTAGTGGCCGGGCTCGCCCACGGGCTACCCGTGCCCGATTCCGCATTACTGGGGAACTTCTTCGGGTCTCTCACAGTCGGGCAAATGGGGCATACCAAATTCGACCCGCATCTCTTACAGGTTGAACTCGCCATTGTTATGACTCTCTTGAAACTTTGAACTTTGCAAAAAATGGCTGTTTAATATTTTTTTCTTGACAGAGAGTGAAGGGAGAAGTGGTGGGTCGGAAGGGAAAGGACGAAGACGATCAATTCTTTACAGTCCTTGACGCAGCAAGATCATCATCTTCTTCGTCGGGGGCGTGCTTTCTCCGGGAAGAATGTAAGAGGGAATTGCCCGCCGGCAACACTGTTCCGGCTCCTGGATCAAAGTGCGGCGATCAGCAGAGATTTTCTTTGGTTCATTGTAGTGTCCATGAAGAAGAAGCCATTCCAGCTCTTGAAAATAAACACTGATTTTCTGATTTTGTCTTCTCCCTCACCCCACACGCCGCCCATGAGAGTAGTTTCTGAATGAATAAACATTTCTCCTCTTTCTTTTTGTTGTTTAGGCTCGTATGGACATTCATTATGTATTCAATGATTTATCAAATTGTACACCAAATAAAATTTGTTCGTGCGTTAGTCACATGAACAAATTTTAATAGTGTAAGTGTAACGGCAACCATACACGCGAATGGACATTTCAACCGTGCAACGGTGGCTCCACGGTCGGGTGAGACCTATCTGTGAATTTATTCACAGCAAAAATAGTTGATTATCGTCTATGTAAACAAATTCACACACGTGTCACATCACACATGAGTTACACGTGTCCACTTTCATTTTTACACATCATCCAATATACTTCTTTGATCTATTTTATCTTGTAATTTATATATTAAAAAAATGTAGAAATTATATATTAATAATCTATATGTTAAGACAAATCAAACAAGATCACACATGACTATATTTAGGCTTACACATTGAGAGAATTTGATGAGTCAAAGTGCTTAGATGAACAGTTTCAAAAGTTAAAACTGGACGAATACTCCGGAACGGAGGGAGTAAATTTTTGAAAAATGTTAGGAATAAATCAACGAAGTATCTAAGTTTATAAAGGCGGGTGAAAATCTATGAATATAATTTAATTATGTAAATAATATATTCTATTTTGCGACAAAGAAGTGTTACAAACATATTCAGTTGATTATCTAGTTATGTATCATACGGAGTATATCTATTTTTCTGAAATGATGTTCTATGTGCGAAATAGTGGTTGAGAAACGCAGAAATTGACATGTCATACAGACTAAAACAATTATCACCCAAAGTAAAAGTTAAGTTCTGAAAAAATATTGAGAAGAAAGAAAAATAGTATGCCTCCTATATGATTATCTTCGCAACCATAAAAAATAAGCCTTTTGTTTTTTTTTTGAAAAACCAAAGGGAATTTGAATTACATTTGGGGCCAAATTCCTTTAGAATCTTTTTGATACACGAAATTTATATGATTGGATTAAAATTGAAAATTAAAATTCTATGGAATTAGTTCTGATGTAATTAAATTTTTTAATCTTAATTTATTTTTGGCACTACAAATTTCAAATTTATACGGTATATTTTTGTACAACCAAGAGAATTAGAATTGTTACCCATTTGACCCTAATTCCAATTCCAACATGCCACTCCTAGATCGATTGGATATGGACTTCAAACAATTCGTCCAATACTTGCGCTTTCTCCCTAATCACCCAATCATTATTAACCGGCCACCGCTCCACCGCCCTTGTATTCCTCCCGGAGATCCCCCGTCCGTTTCCTTTTACCCTTTCCTAAACCCGTTGAAATTTAGGAGGTTCCGTTCTTCTTCCTCTTCTTCTTCTCTCCTCCTCCTCCTCATCCTTTCCCTATCTCTGATTTCGGAATCAGGGTTTAGGTAGAGAGATCCTCCGTCCGTCTTAATGTTTCAACTAATAAGGTTGAATTTTGATCGTTTTTTTCCACCGGGAAGGATCCCTTCTTCTTCTCCTGGATTAGTCAAATTCAGTCTTCCTTGGACGGAGTTGAATTAGTGGTTTTGTTGTTCTTCCATCGGCGGAGCTCGGTTTTGGTGGATTCCCTTGTTGTATCCGTAAATAGCTGCTAAATTGAGCTCCGTTGTTGTACTTTCTACGAAATAGATAATTTATACAGGAAATCCGAGCCGGAATGAAGCACCAGAGGAAGAATAAGATGCGATCGAAGGATCCTAAAGAATGCGGAGCTATCAAGTCTGGAGATGCTCCATCGGATGGAGAGATTGTTTGGAGGAGATTGTTGGAGCCCTTTGCTTCTGTTTCTTTAGAAGAAGCGGAATTGGCTTACAAGGAAGCTAATGGTGACCTGAATAGGGCTGCCGAGATTCTTCAAAATTTGGAGGAGAGTGTGGAGGATCAGAGCACGAGTTCCTCCATTGCAAGCTGGTATGCGAGCTCGAGTTCGAGTTCATCAGACATGTCTGGAGAGGACCATTGTGCTCAATATGAGGCTATGCAGAAGAGTAAGGCGAAGAGAGTTGTTGCTTCTGCTGGGACGGTGTCGACCGTGTTGGGGAAGGACTATGTGAGCTCTCTTCCAAAGAAGAGTTCGTCTGGAAAGAATCCGTTTAATTGTGAAAGTTACAGCAAGGAAGATTCTGAGCAGTTTTTGTGCTCAATGTTAGGAGAGGAGTGCCAGTTGAGCTTAGCTGTGGTTAGAGATGTGCTCTGTAAGTCTCTTAATTTTGTCTTCTTTTTTACTGAAGTGTTGTTGACCAGAGAAATAAGTTGGAAGCATTTACATATTTTTTTGAAAGTTGGTTTGTGGGTGTTTTTCGCAATCAAAAATGTCAATTTTTTTCCTACTCCTGATGGATTGCAATAAGAATTCTCTTAATGGGTTTGTTCTACTCTGTATATTTTTGGTTTTTGAATTTGAATATTTATTTATATGTTTATTTGCAGGTCAGTGTGGATATGATTTTAACAAGGTACTGATAACAGTTAGACTTTGAACCAAGCTTTTCCTCCAAACTTCTGTGTTATAGGGTGTGAATCTTATTTATTTATACAAAAAGTTTGATTTTGCAGCTTTTTTTTGTGCACGTATTTCATTTATTATTTCTGATTTTGTTTATAAGTTTCATTCACCATGATTTATTTCTATATATGCCTAATAAGCTTTATTCTTGTGCACCTGCAGTCTTTTAGGCATCATTTTGAATGTGTAACTCCTTAATGTAATGTTTGTTTTGATCTCTTATAATGTCCCATCGGCAGTCTCTCTTAATTGGTGTATGATGTTTGTTTGACTTTTCAGGCTCTTAACATTTTGCTTGAATTATCATCATCATCAGCGGAGAAAGCTGACAACAGAGAAGAGCCTATGTTGTGTCCTGAATCAAATGACAAAGTTAATCTCATCTCTTATAGCCCCCTTTTCATTTATTTTTCTAGCTAGTGATTCTACTATGTTTTAGCTTTCCATTTGATTGCACGCGATGATACAATTAATAATCTGCTTGTCTGTTGTACAGTTATCCAAGCACATTATTTATGTCTATGTAAGAAAGAAATAAAATTCTACATTACGATTATAAACTAGTTGAATCAAATTCAATACCCGTGTATTTGATTTGAGTTCAATTGAAGTAGGGAGTATTTATATTCATTTAATATTCAAATCTAAAACTCACTTAGCTTTATATTCACCTATCTTTATTCAATCCAGATATTTGTATACAAAATGTATATAGTTGATTTTTCAAAAAACAAATTACTACACCAGTCTAAAAAAGGCACACTTCATCAAAGTAAAACTATTGGAAGTCACCATTTCAGCTATATATTTGGATTCGTAAAATACTTCAAATTCAAATCATTATATTCGAATCTGAATCACAAAATTATTTACCGCCTTAGATTACATATTCTAGTTGCCATTTATAATATCAAGATCTTTTCAACCTGAAAACCTGGGGGTTATGATTATCTATGATCTTGATGACTTTGTTTTTATTCTCTTTTTTTTCAGACTGGAATTTCCTTTGAACTTATGTCCTCCCTCAATTTGATGTTTGGGACCATCTCTCTATTTATCGCCCATCATAGTGATAATGGAGTCATCTTATTGTGATTCTATTTATGCAGTTCACTGGTGGAACGTTTGATTCTTCATACTCATCTGCATGTGGTTTGCAAGAAAAAATGTTATATGCTGAGAATCCTTGCAGGTAGCCAGTGTATTTTTATTTCTCTGTATTTTGTAATTTTGGCATGGTTATGTTTATTGGTGTAGAGTTTGGTAGAGAGGATGGTCTTATACGTATCATCATTTCCACCACCTGTCACCTAATTCCAACTATGGTTGAGACTTGGGATCAATGGCCATTTAGTTTGGGGTGAGAACTCAAGTAAACTTGGTAACTTGGGTTAATTCAGGTTAAATAAAAACTCGCATGCACATCATGGGGCCTGACACTCTTAACGTAATGTAAACTGTCAAGAGAATGTATGGTGGTAGGTAATTGTTGGGAATAAAGACATGTGACTTTCAACATTCAAAACTACTTGCACATATTTTGGAAAAAACATTCTGCAGTCACCCATAGTTGGTAACAAATGGAATTTCAAATAAATGCCACTTTATTTCAGGAATCAGATTAGTTTTTTGCATGACAACGAGCATTCTTCACCACCACGAGGAAATTCGGCATCACAGCTCTCAAAGGAAGTTTTAGAGTCATTGTTTAATATGTCATCCCCTAAGATTGTTGAACACGAACCGGGTGCTTTAAAATGGAAAGATGTTGTGACAAAAATGACATCCTTGAGACTGAACTCCGAGCCATATCCTGCTAGCAGTGTTGCAGGCCTTAATAACACTGGTATTTATCTTATCCAGAGCATCCGGGATTCTATTCGCTACCTTTAGACTTTATAAATAAGGCTTTTATTAAGTGCGCTGAGGCCTCCTGAAGGCATACCTTTCCTAACTCCCACCCCCCCACCCCCCTCCAAAAAAAATGAGGAGACATCAAAACATACTCATTTATGGATTAGACAATAGTTTTAACTCATCTGTGGTACTTCTCAATTATAGCTAAAGGAGAGGACTACCAGGTCTTCAGAGAAGTTTCAACACATCACTGGCAATCAATGAAATCATACTATCAAAAGGTACGCACAACTCCCTTTGTCCTATTGTTTTCTTCATGTGTGGCTTTTCACAGTCTTCATTGCAACACTTTGATCAGTATTATTTATAATTTCTACATAGAAAATCAATTCGGAGTATACTTATATGAAGTTTTAAAACTACATTTATAAACAAATCTAATGATATCGCTTTCATGTTATAACTCAGTGTACTTTTTACACAAATATTGTTTAAGTTCTATAAACTTGACCTGAAAAAAATATGGGATAGGGGAGTATAAATTAGAGTAAAATTAAATGTGACCAAAAGTTTATAGATATGAAAAGCTTGGTCTGCTCGGTTATTTTGCAGGCAGCATCAGCTTTTACTAGTGGTCAACGACAATATGCTGCTTATCTTGCTGAACAGGTGTAGTACGTTACCTTACACCATGGGTCTCATGTCAGAAATTCTCATGCTTGTATTTCTCTTTTCATCTTGAGTTTATAGTCAGGATGCATTTAGCACTTCCATTTGTGTTGTTTCACAAAAATCTCCAATGTTCTAAAAGTTAGTGTGACCTAGGTGATGGCCATGATAGTTGAACAACTAGACAAAAAATATGCGTAAGCAATTATATTGTATACTTTTGCCATTTCACAGGGCAGGGCTCAAAACAGAAAGGCTTTGGAGGCCGAGGAAAAGGCTAGCCAGAATATATTTGAAGCCAGGTGAATTTTAAATTTGTTTTTATTTTCTCTGCGAAGTCTAAGTGAACTTTTTTAATTGTTTACAGAAATAAAAGCATAGAAAATGTGATTACAATTGACATGCATGGGCAGCATGTAAAACAAGCAATGAGGCTCTTGAAACTTCACCTTCTGTTTGGTGCATTTGGATGCTGTAATTGTCTTTGACTGACTAGTGTACATAACCGCTTGAGTTTTTTTTTTAAAAAAAAATTATCTTAAGATTCATAGCTGATTGACTTTTGTTGCTTCTCCAGCTGTTCGGCAATTCAGGGTAATCACTGGAAGTGGGAGCCAAGGCCTTGGGAAGTCTAAGCTCAAACTCGCGGTATGATACAAATTGAGTCTAAAACACCTTCCCCTGCGACATATTGATTTCCTTGAAAGGAAAAGAGAGAATATGAAGTTTATTTTGGGAGGCAGACCAAAAAGAGAGTGAATTTCTTTTGGAGATGTAGGGAGTATATACTTGGTCAAAAATGAATTCCCCATTTTGGCTCTTACTAACAGATGAATTTGGACAATACAGGTGACAAATCTATTAGAGAGGGAAGGAGTTGAGTGGAGGGAGGAGAACAGCGGAACATTGCTAATCAAGCTTCACGGGCAAACAAGTTTCAGCTTCTTGGATACTCCCGATAGTGATGACGAATGAATGTGAGTGTAAGAATATTCTTTCTTTTAACTTATAGAGGGGTTGCTAGAACACATTGATAGCTTAACACCCTGTTTGTTGGCCAACAACAAGCCTTTCCATTTACTCCCTGTAATTGTGAATGAATGAGTGAATCTAGTTGTGTGATGCTTGCTGCTCACATCTCCTTGTTTTATGTGACTAATATGTGACTGAGTTCAACGATTGATGAAATTCTGGAATTCTTATGTAAGTGTGACCTCCATTCTCATGTGAAAACTGTGCTACTATGTTTATAGTGTCTTTGTGAGCCAAGAGTCTTTTGGAAACAATTCTCTACATATTATTTATTGTTTGTGGCTTTGTATCCACTCTTTTCATACCTATCACAAGAGTGGAGAAGGTTTGAAATGAGGGTATTTTTAGCCCCGCGAGTAGGGTTGTAAACAAAACAAATTATCTTGACTCCATTTGTGATTCATATGAAGATCTGAATTTGAATATTTCAAATACAAATTCACATATGGATTTTGATTATTCAAACAAATTAATATACCCCAGTATAAGTGTATTTAAATTGTCTTACTTGTTCCATTGAATTATATTACTGTTCTGTAATATTATTTTAAAGTAACGTAAAATAAAAATATAAAATATATGAATTTCAATAGTTATATTTTGTGAAACATATCTTTGTTTGAGGCAAGTATATTGCTGAGTACTCCCTTCGTCTCACAATGTTTGTCACTCTCTGGATAAAATGTAAAATTATATCACTTTAAATCATTTTAATTATTGATTACACCGTTCAAAATACATCAAAAATTTACGAAACAAGATGTGATATTGATATTTTATTTTATCAAATAATGATTGAATATATATATGCAAACAAACAAAATCGAGAAGCTTCAATAGTATCAGTGGTAAACATTGTTGGATCAGATGGAGACATAATGTTTTTTTAGATATGGTACTCCGTATAAAAAACTCTCCACGTTCAAAGTTAATTGTCAAAAAAATTGTCTTAGTTTCTAATAAAGCAAAGGATATGGGTTAATACTTTTCCTCTTTCCTAAAATATATTTCAATTACTCATTTTTTTAATACTTTTCTTAAAACTCATGAAGTAAAAAGTCCGACAATAAATTTATGATGGAAGGAGTAGCTGTTTAAAAATGCTCGGTACTCAAAGTCTCAAACTTTTAATAGCGGACACCACAAAGTGCCATTTCCTCAAACATGGAAATCACACTAATGAATTCATTATAGGGATGTGCAAAACTGAAAATTGTTGCAGACAAACTTACTACTCCCTATTGTTCTTTCTTGTTATGGCGTCGTGCAGTAAGCCGAACTCCAAAAACAAGCCATAGGGCATTGGAAGAGCAAAGGTTCATAGTTCATTTCATACATAAGAAGTGCCAAACTTTGCGACTCGCTGCCTAAAACAATTAGCTATCAAGTGGAAGTTCACCGCTGTCTGCAATTATAACGTCACTCTTGGGTGTGCCGCTCTGATTGCCTTCTGCTTCCATCTTATACACCACGTCCATTCCAGATAACACCTTCCCAAAAACAACGTGTCGTCCATCTAGCCTGCGTTCAGGAAAACAAATGATGATGTGATGTACTAAATCATTTTGTAAAAAGGGCTAGACCGACACCCAGACTTGAGGACCTTCATCTGCAACAACCCAGTAGAATCCCATGGGAGTAGGGTCAGGGGAGTGTGTGTCTGTGTGTGTGTGTGTGTGCAGACCTTACCGCTACTCGAAAGTAGAGAGGCAAGGACTTTCATCTGCCCTTGGCCTAAATCCTTAAGATCCTTTTGAAATTCGGAATATGCTAGATCATGGAGGAAATACAGAGCATATTCTGCAGAAAAGATACTAGTAGAAACATGTTTTTTGTTTTAATATTGTTCAAACTCATTTGAAAACATTGATCACATTTCATTTGGTGTGGTAAAACCAAACAGGAGAATATAACATTCCCCGTTATTTTTCATTTCCATGGTATTTTGTGGGATTCAATTATATCCTTGGTGGGGAGGTCATTTCCAGGATGCTACGATCCATGGAAACGCTTGACGATTCCCCCATCTTTCAGAGGCCAAAACTATAGGAAACTCTCTCAAGAATGTTTTGGACAATTTGTGGAAACAATGAAACGTGTTTTTGTAACCTCTCGGTTTACATCGCCTCTCCAACTGCCACGAGGTGTTTATGGGTTTTTTAGGAGGCAAGTAGTAGTCTGATTTATACACAGAACTAAGGCCAAGAATTGAGACAAAAAAACAACAAAAGGCAAATGTTGTTGACAATAAGACAGGCCAGAGGACTAACTCACCAGCTGGTTGTGACAGTGGTGATAAAGAATTGTGACCCGTTGGTGTCAGAACCGGCATTTGCCATTGACAGAAGACCTGCAATGCAAAATCATAAACAATAACTTCCACACGATGATTCATGTGCACATCAAAGCCAAGTGATAAAATATAGGGGATGTATGGAGGGGCACCTGGTCCAGTGTGCTTGATCAAGAAATTCTCATCAGCAAACTTTTCCCCATAAATAGACTCACCACCCATACCATTACCGAGGGTAAAGTCACCACCTTGAACCATGAAGCTGGGGATAATTCTGTGGAATTTACTGCCTTTGTAATGCAGAGGCTTCCCACTCTTTCCTGTACCTTTCTCACCTAAAGAATTATACAACTGATTTAACTGGGCACTATTTTTTTCTTAAAACAAAATTATGAAACCTATGGTAAGCAGCTGAGACAGTTACCTGTACATAATGCTCTAAAGTTTTCTGCAACAAAAAAAAGAAAGAAGTATTAGAAAACCTACTGGAGAAGGGCATCCATAAAAAGCAGAATATTATTACATGCACGAAATGTAAGAATACCTGCTGTTTTAGGAACTGTTTTTCCAAAGAGGCCAATGACAATACGTCCTGAAAAAAAAATGGACTTATGCTATTTGATCTACGGAGCATGTTGGGATAGAATCTGAAATGCCGATGGCAAGATAATGAGATGGGAAACTAAAGAACATACCGGCAGGTTTTCCCTTAATCTCAATGTCAAAGTATACTTTATTCGTTACTTCTTTCAAACTTTCCTGCGACTTTTTCGACTTTTTTGCCTGTGAATAAATACTCAAAAGGTCAGCCTTGTGACATTCCATGAAACACTTATTCCAATCCCAGATCATTTCTGTCTGGCCCAACTGTAACAGGAGATTCTTTTTCCTTCCATACATACTTCAATGTTCTCCAACAATGCATTATACCATCTTATCGTTAATGGCATTACTCATCTTAACACATTCAAATTCTCACGCGATATCAAGCTGAAGAAGCTTCAATTTCATGTCTTATAGACCGGGGTTTAAATGACAAAGAAAAGTTACAGCAATAAATCTATGAGAAAATACAAGAAAGCAAGCAATTCAATATATTTTCCAAAGAAATAAATCACAGGGTGAAATGCAAAAAGAGATTTTGATGGACAATGGAAACCAAGATTTCAATATCTAACATCACTACATAGCATAACAATCCACTAAATATCAGATCCATAAGACCATAACATAAAATCAAAGACGACATCAAAACTGGAATAACAGATCAAGAGAACAGCAGATTCAATCGATTATCACATCACACTCACAGACTTGTTCGAGATAAAGAAAAACTAAACGAAGGCATAGACGGAATTACAGATCAAATGAATATAACGGAAAATAACCTCAGAGAAAGCTGCTAGGGTTCCAAAGAGGAGGACGAGGAGTGCGAAAGATTGCAGCTTTGATTTCGCCATTTTTTCTTTTCTCTCTCGAGTTACAGATCAGTTCTGGGAGTTAGGGCGGGTATATGTGTAAATAAAGAAGAGAGGCTTGAAGGATAGGGCCAATTGTGGGATGCCACGTAAGCAGGCCACGCCACGCGGAGAGATATGATTGGTGGAGTTCCGTAGTTCTGTGAGAGAAAAGCGTTGGAGGATGTAGAAAAAATTAAAACGCCGTTGCCGGGGATCGAACCCGGGTCACCCGCGTGACAGGCGGGAATACTTACCACTATACTACAACGACTTGGTTTTTCATCTCTGGAGCTTAGGCATCTTTACCGTTTCATAGAAGATCATAGGTGTCACCATATTTTCAGTCCAACGAAAAAAGGTTTTAGCTAATAGTCCCTCCGTCCCAGAGTATTTGTTTACTTTTATTTTTACACATCATATAATACACTTCTTTAATCTATTTTATCTTGTAATTTGCATATTAAAAAATTATAGAAATTATATATTAATAATCTACTCCCTTCGTCCAAAATTAAGACAAATCAAACAAGATCACACATGACTATATTTATGTTAAGACAAATCAAACAAAATCACACATGACTATATTTATGCTTACACATTGAGAAAATTTGATAAGTCAAAGTGCTTAGATGAACAGTTCCAAAAGTTAAAAGTGGATGAATATAGCGGGATGGAGGTAGTAGAAGATTTGACTTTAGGCCTATGACAAAAGAATTTAAAGAAAATTATATAAATTAATTTGTTCGACTTCAAAGTTTATAATTTTCATAAATTCTCTAATTATTAATTACGTTGAGTTGTTGTCACTCCTACATTATGTTTATATTCATTTATTTTTTATTGTATCAAGAATGTCTGACAGTTGATATTGAATAGATAGAGTATTAAAATACTCATTTATTATGTTTATATTCAATTGTTTTTTATTGTATCAAGAATGTCTTGTTAGACAGTTGATATTCATTTATTAATGCCACAATGTGACTGAGCGTTGCTCCTCTGTTAGTAGAGGCTGAGCACGCAACCTTATTTTTGGACGACTGTTCGAGTGAATGTTTGTTTGAGTCCTGCCGAGTATATGACTTACTCTACCACTGGATCCAAGTACATGCTACTGGGCTGAATATAGATGCGTGTCCGAGTGCGAATGTGCGATTGTTGTCTTGAGGGCTTGGTTTCTTCTAAGTTTTGCTCAGCTGAGAACGGAGTTTTTGGTCAAGCGCCTCCAATTCCCTGTAACTGGATGGGCCTTGTATTAGGCCATTACTATTTTTATTGGACTAGATACCCCAGTCTAGGGTATCCATCAATTACCAATTTACTATCATTATCTTATTTATTGCACCTCATCTATCTTACTTAAGATACTCTATACACTTTCATTAAAATTATTTAATAAAATTTCATTTAAAACTCTTTTTAAAATCTCATGAAAAATTAAAATAAGAACATGTATGGGAGATAGGGGTGGGCAAGAATTCCGAAGCGGTTATCCCGATT